GAGGAGGAGGAGCGGATGCGGATGCGGAGGCGGAGGAGGAAGAGGAGGAGTGGAGGAGGAGGAGGAAGAAGAAGAAGAAGAACTAAGAAGAAGAAGACTAATACTACTACTACTACTACTAATAATAATAATAATAATACTAATAATATGAATAAGAATAATAATAATAATAATAATACTAATACTAATAATAATAATACTACTAATAATAATAACAATAAGAAGAAGAATCATAATAATAGTAATAAGAATAATAATACTAATAATAAGAAAAATAATAATAATAAGGATAATAATAAGAATAATAATAATAATAAGAAGAGTAATAACAATAAGAATAGTACGAATACTAATAATAATACTAATAAGAATAATAATAATAATAAGAAGAAGAGGAGGAGGAGGAGGAGGAGGAGGAGGAGGAGGAGGAGGAGGAGGAGGAGGAGGAGGAGGAGGAAGAGGAGGGGGAGGAGGAGGAGGAGGATGAGGAGGATGAGGAGGATGAGGAGGAGGAGGAGGAGGAGGAGGAGGAGGAGGAGGAGGAGGAGGAGGAGGAGGAAGGGCGAGAATGATGATGTTGTGCTGTTTCCGCGCTGTTGCAAGCGGCCGCAGCTGCGGTTAACTGGCCCCCCGACAGAAACGCCGCCGCGGCAGCGCCGCGCCGCAGCTGCGGCCGCGCAGTTCTAATTGCGCAGCGGTTTTATTTCCGCCGCGAATGCGGCTGGGGGCGGAGCTCGCAGGAGCCGCCGACGCCATCTGACCGCCCAACGTTCTCGATGTCTCGTTGCGCGCGAAATGCGACGGCGCCGCGCGATTCCCATTTGCAGCGTCGTTGGCGACGCGTTGCATCCACCGTGCGAACGTGATTGGCCACTCCTTCTTGTGCTCCCTGCTCATCTCTTCGTCCCAGTTCGTCTGAACCGCGCCCGCGTCTTGGGCATGAACTCCTCTGGCGTCCGATGCGCCGAGGCGAACTTGCTCGCTGGCGCCGCCTCCGCCGCAAAGGCGGCCGGTCTGCTCGCCCTCGAGGCGGCCTCGGGCCCCCGAAAACACCTTAGGCGATGGTTAAGAAAACCCAAGTTTTCGGCCAGAGTCTCGATTATTCTTAATGTTTCCATGTAAATCCTAAGATTTCGATGGAAATTCTGGGCTTCTACTCAAGTTCTGAGACTATGAATTTCTTAAACCATGATTTCTTAAGCATTTCGCAGGGTGTATGCTTCTTCGGGTCTCGGAGCGCCGAGGTCCTGTCGTTCGCTTCCTTCGCCGATCGCCGCCGCTTCGCCGCCGCTGCGGCATCGTTGCCCCGCTGTGCCGTCGAGGCTCGCAGGAGGCAGTCGCCCTCGCGAGACAACTTTCGTCGCGTGCGTCTGCGTTGCTCCCGCTGCTCGTTTCTACAACTCAATGCAGGCTTCTCGGCGCCGGCCTGCCGCAGCGAAGTCTCGGCCTCTTCGAGGGTTTCCTGCGGCGAAGCCGCCGCTGTCACCTGCTCGGCCGCGCGCGCGTCAGCTGCGATCTCCTCTTTGGGCACCGCGCGTGCTAGCTGGCCATTCGCGACTGCGGCCTCCTGGTCTTCCCGAAGAGCCTACTGCCAGCCTTGCTCCTCATCGGCTTCGTCGGAGTCGCCCTCCTCGCCTTCCTCCTCGCCGTCGCCCTCCTCCTCCTCCTTCTCCTCCTCCCTCTCCTCCTCCTCCTCGGCGTCCTCTGTTTTGCTCGTGCTCAGCGCTCCCTCGCCCAGGTTTGCCGAGACTGCGTCCGATGCGCCGTGCTTCTCGTAGTCCAGGAGGAGGCGGCGCATGTCGTTGCATGACCGCCTGAGCCTGCCCCCTCTGCGTTCTGCCCCGACCTCCGCGATTGCGGCGCCAACGTTCTCCCGCGGGCCTCCGTCTCTCCGCGGCCCCGCCGCCTCCCTGCAGATATGCAGGTCGCCAGACTTGTGAACTAGCGCTCTGAACTTTGTTTTCAGACAGCTTTCGGCGGCGCCCACGTGGAGCTGCGCGTTGCTCAGCGCTGGCGCCATCCAGTCGACGCGCTCGTGCCGCCGCAACTGCGGCGCCTGTTTGCCTTCCGCCTTTCCCTCGCGAGCTCCGCGGTTTCGAATGCCATGTAGCGCCGCTTCGTGTGCTGATTCAAATCCGTGTCCACGGGCTGCGCAACTGCGGTTGTCCCCCCCCCATGGATGATGAGGACGTCGCCGTATGTCCGGGCGAGTCTCGGGACAGCATCTGCCATGTGGGGCCCGTGGTCGTCGGCCGTGGGGATGCGCCGATGCCCCCGCGCCTGCGCGTCGTCTGGCCACGCGCGCAAGTGCCGCTGCAGGAAGGAAATTACATCTTCTGTGCGGTATGGGCCCTTCTCGGAAGTCGCCGTGCTCGCCCGGGCACCATGGCCGCAACTGCGAGCGTGCTTCGCCAGGTCCATGGCAGGCCCTCCTTTGAACATCAACTCCGTTGGCGGCGGGCCGCGACTGCGGATGTCCGCCTTGTCGTTCGGCGCCGTCGGATTCGGCTGTCCACTTGGCTTTGCTGTCGTCGCGCGCCCCCACCAGCGGGGCGGGGCCCCTCGTCGCGGCCGGGCGCGGCTTAGCAGTGGAAGCCGTCTCGTTGCGGTGACTCGGGGACTGGTCCCAGTTGGGGATGTGCGGGTCGCGACCGAGAAGTTCCACTGCATCGGCACCTGGTGCTTGCGGTTCGGTTTTCGCAGGCTCAAGCCGTAGGGCTGCCGCCGCTTCAAACCGCCGCCGAGGCCGCGACTGCGGCGCCCTCGGTTCAAGTCCCTGCTTCGAGTTCTCCACGCAGTACTGCGTCACGAGTTGCTGCGCCTTCGTCACGAGCTAGGCCTGGGTGTGCCTTGCGAGAATCTTCGGGCGCTGCTCCACGACTGCGGCCCACCTCCCCGCGGCCTTCCAGTCCACCGGAGACCTCATGCGGGACCACCAATCGTACAGAGTGGCTTCCAACCGTGGGCACTTCGACAAGGCCCCGCTGCCGCGCGCGCGACGTCTGCCCGTTGTCTGCCACGCGACCGCGGCTCCAGACTGCCTTCTCCGTCGAGGCCACCTCTTTTTGATTGCGTCTGTCTGCTCTGCCTCCGTCGCGCCCCGCGGCCGCGTGAACCTCGCGCAAAAGCTCATGAGCGTGCCGCGCGATAGCCGACCATCGCCCAGCCACCCGTCGCTGCGGGCGTGCTTCTCGAGTTCTGGCAGCCCGCGCGGCAGTCTCCGAGCAGCCGGGGGCGCGCCTTCGCCTCTGGAGCCGCAATTCCGTCCTTGCGCTTCGTGCGCCCTGATCTGCTCGCCGCGCAGCGGCTCTGGCACGCTGTCCGCGATGGCCATGAGAGCGCCCTCGTCTCTCGACCCCGTCCGTCACTTGCTTGCCGCAGGCGGATCCCCGGCGGGCTCTGGTGTTCCGCCTGCTCCGCAGTCGTCGTCAAGCAGAGCGATTTGCACAGGTGGGCCGTCGTCGCCGCAACTGCGGGGCGCCCTCGCTTTTTCCAGGGCCAACTGCTGCGCGACCGCGGGCATGTCGGGCACCCGCGGCTCGTTCCATCGCCGACTTCCGAATTCGTAAAGTTCCCGGCGGTTCCACGCGCGCGTCTGCTCATCGCTGGGGCTCGCGAGCATCGACGCCATCGCGTCGATGCCGCAGTTCCCGTCGCTCGCGGTTCCCTGGGCGAGTTGTTCCAGAGGGCGGTGGAATTTGTTCAGCGGGCCCACCCCAGTGTGTAGCGCACGACCCGCGGGAATTGGAATTGCGGCCACCTGGTGGCGAATCTCACAGCGCTTTTTTTTTTCCTCCCATTTCCCCCCCGCTGGACCTCTGCCCGCGGCATGTAGGAGTCGAGCAGGTCTTTGCGGTTTTCACCTTCCCAGCGCCTGGACCGCGTGGCGAATGGCAGAAATGCAGAGTGCCCAAGGTAGGGGCCCTCCTTCAGGATCTCCCTCGACGCCGCCGCCACCTTGTCCGGGACTCTCGCCGCGAATGCGGCCTCCATCCTTGGGGCCTCCGCCGCGGGCCCCGCCTGCCTACGCCCGCGCGCGTTTGAGGTCTGCCCGCGCGTTGGGCTTCTCCAGGTGTCCTGCGGTGGGTCTGGTGCAGCGAGCGCGCCCGCGGGGGCCATTTCTCCCGCGTTGTCGCGTAGGCAAAGGTGATTTCTTTGAGCCCAGGTGCGGAGATCGCCGTGGCTTCCGTCCGGTGCCGCCGATCCGGGGTGCTCGTGCCGATGATGATGCTGGTGATGATGGTGATCATGATGATGATGCTGATGATGATGATGATGATGATGATGATGATGATGATGATGATGATGATGATGATGATGATGATGATGATGATGATGATGATGATGATGTGATGTGATGATGATGATATGGTGATGATGATGATGATGATGCTGATGATGGTGGCGATGATGAGCATGGTGATGATGAGGACTGCCCTCGTACTTTTTGGCTTTGCCTAAGCGCGGGCAGTATCGGGGGGGCCGGCGCCGAGCCCCCGGTGCTGGCGCGCGGGGGGGGCGCCGGCGCCGGGCCCCCGGTGTGGCGCCGGGGGAGGTGCGGGCATCGGAGGGGGGCGCCGGCGCCAGGGGGGGCGCCGGCGCCGGGTGGGTGCTGGCGCCTGGGCGGGGGGGGGGGCGGCGCAGGGTAGGGTGCCGGCGCGGGGGGGGGTGCCGCCGTGGGGCGGGCGTCGGCGCTGGGGGGGGGGGGGGCGGCGGCGCGAGGGGGGGGCGCCGGGAAGGGGGTTCTAGCGCGCCCGCGCACCCCCGCGCCGCCGCGCCCACGCGCCCGCGCACCCGCGCGCCCGCGCGCCCACGCGACCACGCGCCCGCGCGCGCGTCCTCGCGCGTGTCACGCGCGCAGACGCGCACGCGCGCGCGCGCTCATCCCGCGTGCGCATGCACGCGCGCGGGCGATATTAATGCATGCCCCCCCTTCTCCCCATTTCATCATATCCCCGTTCAACAGGATTCAAATGTGGAGAAGGGCGCGGAGGCTGGACTTTATAATCCACGGGGAAAGTTGCGAATCGAATTTGCTATCATCTCATGTTGACTAGCGGCGACCAAACGCTGAGCATGGCCATGGTGGTCTCGCCACATCAGCTTCCTCGATCACGAGCGCGTGGCAGGGCTGTGGGATTCTCGGAAGTTCAGTTTGCCCAAGTTACGAATGTTGGCAGGGCCATGGTTTTCTCACTTTTCAGCCGTTCCCGAGTCAGGAACGCGTTGCAGGGCCGTGGGGGCCGATTGGATTTTGATTGTACGTGCGTTTTCCGAGCAGGCAGAGCATTTGAGTTTATTATTTGTTTAGCGCATCCCTCGCGCGGTTCGTGGCCCTTCCTCCTCCTCCTCCTCCTCTTCCTCCTCCTCCTCCTTCCTCCGCCTCCTCCTCTACCGCCGCAGCTGCCCGGGCCCGAGCTTCCCCGAGTCTCCGGGGGGTGGGCGCGCCGAACCTGCCCAGGACCGTGCGGATTTGCGATCGGGCGCGCATCGCCGATAAGTTGGCGATGTGTCGCCGATCCCGTATCGATGTCCCCCCCAATGCCTGTCCCCCTCGCATCTTTGCCCCTGAGTGCGTCGCGAGCCAGGGCCGTGGGCCGGGTCGCCGAGCGCGCCGCGGCGGCGAGCCTCCCCGCCGAGGCCCTCAGGCAGGTGGCGGCCCAGAGCGCGAGCCCGAACTCGAACGAGATCCTCGAGCGCGCGGCCAAGGAGGGCGAGGAGATCCTCGACGAGCTCGCTTTCATCGCGGACAGGATCGCGACTGCCGAGATGCGCCAATGCCAATCGAGCGCGCGTGGCACTGATGCAGCGAGGATGGCGGCTAGCTTTTTCAAGGCCGAGAGCGCCTTGTGGTCAAGCGGCGCGCGGCAAGCCGTCCTCGATGTGGTCTACGACGGCGGGTCTCTCGAGAGCACCGAGTGCGGCCGCATCTTCAACGAGAAGGGAAGGAGGCGCATCGAACTGGCCGTGGCGTTGTTCTGCGAGACCTACTACGAGAATGGCGAGCGCGTCTGCGACATCTTCGAGAATCACGGAGAACCGCCCGAGAACCTCTTCTGGCTCATGCCGAGCTTCAAGGCCGGGATGCACGAGCTTGAACCTCTTCTGGCTCATGCCGGGCTTCAAGGCCAGGATGCGCGAGCTTGCCCAGGGGAAGGACACCGGGCTCGGCGCCGAGGGCGCCCAGCGCCTCGCCCGCGGCTCCCGCGCCGAGCGCGTCGGCAAGGCCCTTCCTGACATCCCCGCCGAGCTCCTCCGCCTCCGCGACTTCGTGCTGCCGACCAACGAGAAGTCCGAGCCCGGTGAGAAGTTGGGCGAGAAGTCCTCCGGCGCGAATGCCGAGCAGCTCTTCGAGCTGATCCCGAGCAAGGCCAAGTAGTTTGTCACTCGGCGCCGCCAGAACGGCGTGGTGTCGAGCCCTGACACCGCCAAGGCCACAACGCAAGTGGTGGTCAAGTGGCGCTGGGGCGCGACGAGGGCAGCCAACGTGGCGCGCGAGCTCCAGGTGCGGAGCTACCAGGACATGCGCTCCACGCTTGACTGCGTGAGTACCGTCAAGCAGCAGGACATCGAGGCGGCGCTTCTCAACCAGCGCATCGCGTTGACTTTCGATAACTTCGCCAAGGTCCGCGCCGACTACGACAAGATCACCAGCCAGCGCGAGCCCGAGAGGAGCCGGGCCGACGCGAAGGCCGAGCCAGGAGGCCGACAAGTTCATGCTCGTGGACGCCTGAGAGCCTGGCGCACGAGCGTCCCGAGCCGAGCGCCCACATGCTTTTCGCCGCGAGGGTGCCGCGCGAGTGTCTCGAGGCACGTGCTCGAGCCCCGTCGCTTTTCAAGCTCCAAGCGAGCGTTCGAGCACGCGCGAGTGGCGTTCCAAGCTGCGGGGTGCTACTCCCCCTCTCTCGCCGAGTGATCCTCGATCAAGCATCAATCAATCAAGCGGGCTCGGTCCTCCATCCTCGGATCGAGGGCCCGAGATCTTGAGTCCGAGCATCTTCGAGCACCTTGGATCCCATGCCCGAGGATCGCCAGGCTCTGACTCGAAGATCTCGGGTGCGCGATCCGAGGATCGAGGGTCGAGCCTCGGTGATCGTCGATCGTTGCCGTCGCCGTCGTCAGGCCCAGGCCGCCATCGTGGAGGCTCGACCCTCCGATCGAGGATCCGAGATCATGGTTCGGAGCATCTTCGAGCGCCTTGGATCCTAGGGCCGAGGATCGCCGCGCTTGGACTCGAAGATCTCGGGTTCGCGATCCGAGGATCGAGTGTCGAGCCTCGTTGATAGTGGATCGCCCTCGTCGCCGTCCTCGGGCCCAGACTGCCATCGAGCAGGCTCGATCGTTCGTCCTCGGATCGAGGATCCGAGATCTTGGTCATGAGCATCTGCGAGCACCTCGGGTCCTAGATCCGGGGGTCGCCAGGCTTTGGCTCGAAGATCTCGGGTTCGACATCCGAGGCTCGAGAAGCGAGCCTCGGCGATGTTGGATTGCCCCCCTCGCCGTCCTCGGGCGCTCAGGCCGCCGTCGAGGTGGCTCGATCCTCCATCCTCGGATCGAGGAACCGAGATCTTGGTCCCAAGCATCTCTGAGCGCCTTGGATCCTAGATCCGAGGACGGCAGCGCCTGGACTCGAAGATCTCGGGTTCGACATCCGAGGCTCGAGAATCGAGTCTCGGCGACTGTCGAGTTCCCTCGTCGCCGTCCTCGGGCCTGGACTGCCGTCGAGCAGGCTCGATCTTGCTTCCTCGGATCGAGGTTCCGAGATCTTGGTCTTGAGCATCTGCGAGCCTTTTGGATGCTGGGTCCGAGGGTCGCCGATCTTGGGCTCGAAGATCTCGGGTTCGGCATCCGAGGCTCTAGGATCCAGCCTCGGCGATGGTAGATCGCCCCCCTCGTCGTCCTCCGTCGCCCAGACCGACGCCGAGGAGGCTCGATCCTCCATCCTCGGATCGAGGATCCGAGAACTTGGTTTCAAGCATCTCTGCGCGCCTTGGATCCTAGATCCGAGGATCGCAGCGCTTGGGCTCGAAGGTCTCGGGTTCGACATCCGAGGCTCGAGGATCGGGCCTCGGCGATTGCTCATCTTCCTCGTCGCCGTCCTCGGGCCCAGACTGCCATCGAGCTGGCTCGATCCTTTATCGTCGGATCGAGGATGCGAGATTTGGTCTTGAGCATCTGCGATGATTTCGGATCCTAGGTCCGTGGATCGCCAGGCTTGGGCTCCAGGATCCTGGATCCTCGATCTGGGGATCGAGGGTTGAGCCCGCTGGGAGCTCTGAGCGAGGTGCTTTCGGGCAGGGTGAGGACGAAGTGCTAGGGGCTCTCAGCGAGGTGGCCACCAGCCCCGAGGACGCCAGAAACAAAACAACAAACTCAAGGGACAGGGGCCAGAGCAACGTGCCGACGACAGCAATGACAAAAGCACGCGCGAGCAGCGCAACGCGCGCAAGGAACAGCAGCAACAGCACAACCAACAGCAAACGCAACAATCGCAACAACAGCACCACCAACAACCGCAGAAGCAACGGCAAGCACAACAGCAACACCAGCAACCAACGCAACAGCAAGTCACAACAGCAATAACACAAGCAGAAACAACAAGCGCTGACCAATGAGCTCCAACGACAAGCTAACACGATAACGCTGACGACAAGAAGGCGAACACAAGCAGCGAACAAGTACGCGCCACCAGCAGCCAGAAGCCTGCGACTTTCCGTAGCCACGGTGGCTCGAGGATTTGTGCTTCGAGCCACTGCAGCTTGGCAGCGAGACTCCGATGGCCGCGCCGACGAAACAGGCGAGCTTGTCGGGCCTCTGGGGCCTGGCGAACTCGCCGCCCGCGGCCCCGAGCTCGCGCGAGAAGCTCAGAGCCTCGCCCTGAGAGACGGCCGGGTCTACTGCTGCTGCTGCTGCTGCGCGGCCAAGTGGCTCGAGGCTGGGGCGGCCAAGCAGGATTCCTTCTCCTCCTCCTCCTCCTCCTCCTCCTCCTCCTCCTCCTACTACTACTACTACTACTACTACTACTAGTACTCCTACTACTACTACTACTACTACTACTACTACTACTACGACTATTAGTACGATTACTACTACTACTACTACTACTACTACTACTACTACTACTACTACTACTACTACTACTACTACTACTACTACTACTACTACTACTACTACTACTACTACTACTACTACTACTACTACTACTACTACTACTACTACTACTACTACTACTACTACTACTACTACTACTACTACTACTACTACTACTACTACTACTACTACTACTACTACTACTACTACTACTACTACTACTACTACTACTACTACTACTACTACTACTGCAGTCAAGCCGCGTTGTAAGGATGCGCGATCTTTTCGAGGTTAGTTAGTTACCCCTGCATCCTTGCCCCTTCGGCCCATCTGGGCCTTCCCAGGCCTTGCATCGTTGCCGCGCATCCTTACTGCGTGGGTCGACTGTGATACTACTGGCGCTCCTTCTTCCCCCGTCAGGAGCGAATCGCGGCCGCGGCCGCGCGCCGAGAGCTTGCGAGCGCCGAGGGCAAGGCCCTCGCCCCGGGAGATCTCGGCTGAGGCGCAAAACGAGGCTTCGGCAAGGGCGGCGGACCCCAGGGCACGAAGGTGGACCACGAGGGCGCGCGCAGGCCCCGAGCTGCGCCCGCCCTTCAGCGCTGTCCAAGCCCCAGATCCCCTTCGACTGGAGCGAGCGCGCGGACGAGTACGACGTGGAGGACTTCGCCCGCCGCAGTGAAGGCCGAGCTGCAGGGCGAGCGGCGCTGGAGCTACGACGCGGTTGCCCGATGGCGCGGCCTTCGAGCTGCTTTCGAGGAGAAGGTTTCCACGGGGGGGCTCGGCACTAACGGCGTCGGAGCCCGCGGCTGCGCCCGCCCGAACCGCCGCGGGCAGACGTGTGGCCATGGCGCCAGGCTGTCCCGCGAGGTCCCAGGTGCGGTCGCCGCCAAGCGCCCGCTCGAGGGCATCGTGCGCGGGCCTGGAGTGCTGGTCCAAGTGGGGGCGCGAGCGCGGCCACGAGGTCGGGAAGAAGACCATCCTGGCGCGGCTGCCTACGAGGTGGCTTTCGAGCAGGACAAGCAGCTCCACCTGCAGAAGGTCGGCCGCGAGAGCTGCGCCGCCGAGATCCTCGAGAGGGTGACCAAGCGCCCGAGTACCTTCCTGATCAAACGGACGTCCAAGAAGGACATGCAGTGGGTGGGCGAGTTCGCCCCGCGGGGGCTGAAGGCGAGTGGGCGCAAGGGCCGGCGCCTCTCCGGCCATGGGGCAGACGCTCAGCAAGGACAAGGCCAAACTGACCTGGGCCACGGCCGACAGGTTGTGCTAGTAGTAGTAGTAGTAGTAGTAGTAGTAGTAGTAGTAGTAGTAGTCATTGTAGTAGTAGTAGTAGTAGTAGTAGTAGTAGTAGTAGTAGTAGTAGTTGTTGTAATCGTAGTCGTTGTAGTCGTGATTCGTAGTAGTGGCATTACGAAGTACTAGTCAGTACTGTTATTACTACTACTAATATGCACTCTTTGCATTACTACTACTAGTAACTACTAGTAGTAGTAACTACTATTAGTAACTACTACTTCCACTCGTAACTACTATTACTCGTAACTACTACTAACAACTAGGGTTACTACTAGTAACTAGTAGTAGTCTAGTCGTAATTATTTCCGTGTTTTCTACTACGACCAATTTCGTCTACTGGTTTTATTTTTACTATTACTTATAGCTTCTACTATTAGTAACTACTAATAGTAAGCATGGCTACTACTAGTAACGACTACTACTGGTAACTACTACTCGTAACTATCAGTATTTCAAGTAGCTACTTCTACTTTTAGTACTACTACTAGTACTATTGCTACTACAACTACTTACTACTACTAGTAACTACAACTATTAATAACTACTACTACTATCAAGTATTATTAGTACTAGTAACGACTTTAAATCGTAGTAGTACTACCGCTGCCACTACTACTATCGAGTAACTACTACTACCACTAGGTTCGTGCACCCTGTGGCGGGGGGCGGCCCCGAGGACTTCGGCTTCTTCGTCGGGGCCCCCGGGGCCTCCGCCCGGCAGGGGGCCAGCGCGAGCGTGGTCGTCGTCGACGCCGCCGCGCTCTGGCCCAAGCTCCGGGTCGAGGAGCAGGCGTGCGTCCCCGAGAGCGAGGTCTACGCCGCAGGCGCCAATCAACGCACCCATGACCTCCGCCGCAAGTTCCGCGAGACGCAGTCCGAGCAGGACAAGGCAGACGTCGAGGCCGAGAAGGCCGAGCACTTGGCAGAGCACCCCGACCACGAGGCGCAAGAGGAGCAGGCCTACTCGAGCGCAGGGGACAAGTGCAGGATCACCCTCATCGACATCTCTGCAGTCGAGGACAGGTTCGACCCGAGCAGGTGGCCCAAATCCGCCCGGAAGCGCAGCGCGCGCCCTGTCTCTTGCGCAAGGCACTGCCGAGTGAGCGACATGAACCTCGAGGGGGGCGCCTGGCGGCGCGACGCTACCTACGAGCGGGGCGATGGCGAGACGGGGCCCCAGGGGCTGGCGCAACGCTCTGCTCGAGTTCTCCGAGGAGGAGCGCGCGAGGGCCTTCGAGGCCATCGACGTGTGGGGGCAGCCCAGAGCATGGACGGGCGACCTGGACCTGGTCGCCTCCTGGACCGTCGACTTCATCAAGCAGAAGCGCGGCCAGAGCCTCGTGTTCGCAGACTGCCTCTCGAGCCAGTGGGCCGAGGCAGCGGCGCTCCATGGCCCCCGACGTCGCGAGCTTCTTGCAGGGGCTGGGCACCCGCGCGCGCAGCCAGCTCAAGGCCGCGATCCGAGAGGTCAAGGCCGAGATGCATTGGGCCATGGAGCAGGGCTGGATCCAGAAGACCAAGGATGACCCCCAGGAGCAGTGCAAGTCCCCGACCCAATGGTGGCCCTACGAGTGCCCCTACTGCGTCTCCGAGGCCTACCCCCGCTTCCGGGAGAAGAACAAGGGCGCGGTGCCGCTCCGAGGGCTGCGAGCGAACCGAATGCTCGCGGTCCGGCCGACGGATCAGGGCGAGCTCAGGGTCGTCATGGGCATGGGGCCGTGGAGCTACTCCATCGAGCCCGGCCGCAGCATCGAGAACAGCCTGGCGAGGGGGCGCCTGGAGGGCCTCCAGAGCTGGCCCGAGGGCGTGCCGCCCGTGCCCGAGTGGGGCGCCCTCGACGGGAACTGCTTCCACAACGACGACTTGCCCAGGGACTGCGAGCAGGGCGAGAACCCCTGCCTCCTGGAGCTCCGAGAACTGGACCTCGCTCGCCGACGAGCAGAAGGACGCGTTCAAAACGTCAGGGGAGCGGGTCAAGGATATCCAGTTCCCGCGCGCCCTCCAGAGCCGGATCAAGTTCTCGCGAACAAGTGCTCGCAAGAACAGGTGGGCGTCCAAGTTCGCGGGCCAATTCCCGGGCAAGCGCGCGCGAGTGGCAGCGCGGGAAGGCCAAGGCTGGCGGCGAGGCCTCGCTCGAGCGCCCGAGCCGAGGCGCGGCCAAGGCGAAGCTCGCGGGCAGGCCGCCGAGGGCGCAGGCGAGCTTCTCCAAGAAATTCAAGCAGAAGGGGCAAGCGGAGATGACCGCCAAGAAGCAGGACAAGGCCAATAATTATGCAGGCCTCGATGCTTGCGAGGGTCAAGGGTCAAGGGTCAAGGGTCAAGGGTCAAGGGTCACTCAACAGGTATTGTACTTGCTCGACACTTTCTGATCATTCTTCAACAGCATGGCTCATAAGCGCATGGCCTTTACTGATGCGGACACCGGTGATGAGGTTTCATTGGAAGACGTCCTTGATAGGTATGCGGAGAAGCAGGCCACCAAGCAGAAGGAGGTATTCCAGGAGATGCTTGATGAGAAGCTCGAGTCGCTCGTGGAGTCCAAGATCGCCAGCCGCCTGCAGCCCCTCATCGATCGCCTGGAACGTTTTGAGAAGTCAGCCGCAGTTCGGGCTTCTTCAGCCCCCCCGGCGCCCTCTGTCCCGGCGTTCCTTGAGATCAAGGGCTTTGTCGATAATTTCGAGAGCGCAGCGGCCTCTGGGATTACTCCGGACGAAGCTAAGGTTCTCGTGGCCAAGCTGAAAGGGGTTACCCCCGAGGATCGTTGTGAGCACGTGGGTGAGGCGGAGACCAGGGAGGGCGGCCGAAATTTTGCTGTCAAGGTCTACGTCAGCCAGTCCATCAACAAAGTGTTCTCGTTATGGAAGGCGCAGCTGCGCAGGGAAGAGAATGAATGGAAGGGCCGGGAGCTTTTCGCCGCGATCGAGAAGAGCCCCAAGCAGAAGTTGAAGTACGACGCGATGGGGAAAGTGAAGCGCATGTTGGAGAAGGAGGTCGCTACCAACCTTCCGAACTACAAGGTGCGAATTTTCTGGGGCTGGGACATGTGCGCCTATTTGGAGCCCCAGGGCGCTTCGATGGGTCAGCAGGGCCAGGCCTCTGTCGCCTTCATCGCGCATGTCGAGGAGGATGGCGCTATCGAGTGGGATCCAGAGGGCCTTCGTGTTCTTGGCTGCCCCAACACGGATGCAGCCAGGCTGAAGGTCATGGCTGCTTCTATCCGTGGCCGGTGACATTGGTTGCGGCGGTGATCGCGGGTTGATGGTCATGTTGATTTGGAACTTCTTGGGGTCGATCTCAATGTTATCAGCTGCAACTTGAGCAGGGTATCGTTCAATTACGTGGTTGACGTCATTGAGGACATGCATGTGGTGGGGAGCGGTCTTCACTGCCTGCAAGAGGTGTCTTCTTGGCCGTCGGACGCGGGCGACGAATTTGACTTAGAGGGCTGGTTGGCGCAACGCGCGGCGGGCAGTCCTTGTGCGATCTTGGTGCCTTCCGGGCTCGGGGACCGTCTCCGGTGGACTGGTTCGCGCGGCATGCACTCTCTCGTCCTTATCGGCAGTATTGGCATCATTTCTTCATACTTTTCCTGATGCACGCAAACCTCTACATCTTTATCTCTCTGCTCTTTCTCTTCTTCGGGAGTCTTGCGATACTACGGCAGCGTGGTGCTATGAGATCTGTTATTTGTTGTGATTTCAACCTCGAGCTTCAACCGGAGCTTCGAGGTTTGACCAGTCCTGCTGCTCTCGGGCGTCCGTCTTGCAGCGACTACTGGGACAGACGCTCTCAGCTTGTTGGTTTTATGCGAGATTATCGCTTGGAGGCTGCGAATACGTGGGCCGACCAACGCGTTCCTCTACAGACTCGTATCCCTCCCCGCAAAGCCCGGAGTGCTGGAACTCAGATCGCTTACATTTTAGTTTCGACTTCGTTGGCAGGACGTGCTTTTCGCACATGATCATCGCATCCGTCGCGGGGAACTTTAAATGCTCCGACAGGATTTTGCCCGCTGGCACTTTCAAGCGACGACGGCTTACGGGATGGTCGCCATCTGATTCGGATGCTGCTTATGCTTATCGTCGCGCCGTTGTGCATGATGTCTGCCCTGACGGTGCCCATGCTCTTGGCATTGCGCCGGCGCTCAGTATTGTGTCTGATGTGATGCGCGATGCTGCCCGTGCTGTGCCCCGCTCGGCCCTTGCATCTGCGACCTCGCGCTTACGTGCCCGACCGCAGGAACGCCGAGGCGCCGAGGAGGCTGCGAGGATTGCTACTGATATGGCGCATCGACGGCACTGGCGACGAGTTGCGCAACGTCTCCGAAGGAAATGACATGCGGAGCAGATCCTTCACACTGCGTCTAAGAAGCAACGGCTGCCGCCCCGAGCACTTGAGGTAAATGGTTCTCGCTGCGTCGATCGAGCCACTTGGGGCCACCAGCTTCTACGACACTGTGCCGCGAAGTATGTTGACAGTAGCGTTGCTGACGTGGCTGTGGCGCGGCACCGTGCTCATGTTCATTCCCTGCGCAGTGCTACACGATCTGTTGGACTTGATTGGGGCTTGCATTTGACCTTAAAGTCCAGGGCAAAACTCTGCTCTGGCAAAGCTAGCGGCGCTGACAATTTAGTCTCGGAGATGTTCCTCAATTTACCAATGGCGGTCGTAGAGGTTATACACGACTTGTTCAAGAGACGTTATTGCGGCGATCTCACTGGCGAGCCGATTACTTGGAGGCAACTGGAGCTTTTCTTCATTGCAAAATGCAAGTCCGCTGTTTGCTTATCTGACTTTCGTGGCATTTGCTTATCAACTACGTTGTCCAAATGGTGCATGTCATGTTTGGTTGATCTTGCACGCGAGTACTCCAGGCATCACTTGCGGGAGAAATGGCGGAAGTTCATGGTTTTCGGCTTCGAAGAAAATCACAGCACGGAGCAAATTTGCATTGGGCTGCAGCTCCTGGTGCAGTGCGGAGTTGAGTGGAGACGTGATTCGCCAGTTCTCTTGTGAGTGCTGATGTGCGAGGTGCTTTTGATGAGCTTAGTCTGCCTGTGGTGGTGGATTGTCTGCTCTACTGGGAGTTCCCGCTGGACATCGTTGCAGCCCTTTTAGAGGAGGGTTTGGATCTGACGGCCACTGCGTCGCTTGGCAGCGCTACGACCAGCAAGTTCCGGTTCGCGCGTTCTATCAGGCAGGGGGGGGTTGAATCTGCCTGGGAATGGAATCTTGTTGTCCGCCGCATTCTGAATGAGTGCGTCGGGCGTTGGGGGGGGCGAACCAGTACGGCATTGATCTGCCATTTATTGGACGCACTACTCATCTAGTCTGGGCGGATAACTTGTATTTTATGGCTCACACGTTGGAGGCGGTGCAGGCCATGGCGCAGGACTTTACCGATATTTTGGTGTCGATGTCGATGCAGTGGAAGCCGGCATCTCTGCAGTATCTCAACACTTGCCGTGGCACTGGTGGAATGGAACTGTGGCAGCATGGCCGCCCATTGACAGTCCAGCTGGTTCAGCAAATGGAGGTCCTCGGCACTTTAATCACGTCGTCTGGAGATTCTTTGCCTGCGGTCCGGCTCCGCTTGGCCAGGGCATCTGGCGCATTTTGGCTTTATTCCGACGCCTTGCAATGTGAAGATTTGAGCGTCGTGCAAAGGTGCGCTGAGTTCTGCAGGCACGTTCAGCCTGTGGCCTTGTAGGGGGCTGGTGCGTGGACTTGGTTTCGGCGTGTCTACGATGAACTCTATCGATGGGAGAATGCGCATCTTCGTCGCGTGGGATGCTATCGCCGCCGCGCAGAGGAGGACTTCGCGCAGCACGTCCGCCGGAGCACGAGGATGGCCCGGAAAACTTTTCATGGGGCAGGGTGTTCCAGCATTATTTCTCTATTCTTGGACTCTCTTCACAGAGTCGCTGGCCGCGGTTTTGCTCGCGTTTGCATGGATTGCGAGGGCGGGCGTGCTGAGCAGTATTACAACTTGGTTGCGACTCCTGTTGTTTCCACGTGTGCTGTGGTGCCAACCCGGTGCTTAGTTGCTGCGTGCGTGGTCTGGGGAGATGCGGAGTGGTGGCGGGCTGTGCAAACCATGGGTGCCATCATGGATCCAACTAACAAAGAGAACTGGCGGCATGACAGATCGGGGATACACTTCAACTGGGAAGCCGTCTTCGCGCGCATCTATGGCACTGAGTGGAAACGAGTGGTTGCATCAGTGACTTGGCGCCAGCAGCGAGGATCCTGCCGGCATGCTGCGTGCAAGCTGCTGGACGAGCGCCCGTTGGAGGACCGCTTCCCGACCAGAGCGATCTTGAGCACGTCTACTGGGATTCCCAAACAGCCGCGTGCAGTCGAGCGATCACCCGTGCCGTGGACACGAGGTCCCTCGCACGTGTCTCGTTTTGAATTGGTGGGCGACAGCATGCTGATTGTCAATTGGATCAACGGCTTGTGGAGGTGCAAGTATCCTGTGTATGACGCCAGGTTGAAGCTTCTACATCGTGCGCTTGAGCGTTTGTCAGGAGAGAGCATTCTTTCCAACCCCGGCAGGTGCCATCCGATTTGTGTCGTCATGTATTTCACGAACTCAACCAGGAGGCTGATGCGATGGCTGGCATGCATACTTATACACATACTGAATATGCCACCGTGGCCGGTGATGTGCAGGTATTCTAATATTACCGGGCTCATTTTGCTGGCAGCCACACTACAAGTGGAAGCGGTGGCGGATGGGTCTTGTATGGTGCAAAGGACATCGTTTACGACGACCCGTCTGAATGGGTAAGGGTGGCTGACATGAGTTTCGTGTTGGATAGCCGTGCTACCGTCACTGCTGCTGGGCTGGAGGCTGCACTTTGGTGTGTTGTATATCTGCGCACGTGTATCTGGTCGCGACGAGCTGACGCACTTCTTGGCCACGCACACGACGCCCGATTTCTCCATATTCCCCGTCCTCGAGATCCTAGGCATGTGTTGAAGACGAATGTTCGTTCGCTTGTACGTATGAAGCTTGGCTTGAAGTTCACGTGAAGAGGGGCAGGCGCGGCTGAATGTGCATGCGTGTGCTGCCGAATCGCTTGCGATTGCGCTGGCATGGAAGAAGAAGATGCTTGCGAGGAGCCCCCCTGGCACGGAGAGGTGGCGCGCGTCGCCGAGGGGGGCGTCCGCGAGGGCGGGCGCGGCAGAGTGCAGGACGTCTGGCGAGTGCTGGGCACCAGACGCGCGCCGCCTGCGCGTCCTTGAGGTGGGGGCCGCGGCGATCTTCCAGATCGAGAGCAGCGAGGCTGGTGGGCTCGCGGGCACTCATTAGCTTCCGCCTGCTTCCGACCGGGGCGGCGGAAGCAAGCGGGAGCTTGCGGGGGCGGCGGAAGCGGCGGAAGTTTGCGGAGAGCTGGCGGAAGCAGGCGGAAGCGACATGAGGCGGAAGCAGGCGGAAGCTAACGAGTGCCTGTGAATCCCGAGCGCCGCAGGTCATGATCGAGCAGGACTACAAGTTCCCCGAGCCGCGCAAGCTCGACTGGCGCCAGACCAGACTGGGTGGCCGCACCGAGCTCGCCAAGGAGTACGCGATCACGACTTGCGAGCAGATCGTCGAGGGCGACGCCCTCGAGCTGGGCGCAGTGCGCGCGCTGCTGGGCGAGATTGAGGCGCGAATGGGCGTCCCCGAGAACGTTCTAGTGGTCGAGCCCACGGTGGCCGTCGCGTGGGCAACAGGAGGGCCGGGGCGAGGACGACCCCGCCGCCCAGCAGCCCGAGGGGCAGATGCGCTGGGCCGTGAGGGTCGAGAAGGCCTAGCACGTCCTGGTCTGCGTGCGCTCCGAGGCGCCTGCGCACTACGCGTACCTCAAGGTCGGCGGCTGCTACAATTGCTCCTGCCCCGAGGCCCCTCCAGTTTTTCGTTCCGTTTTGGGGCGAATCCTGGAGGCGCCCCGGGCAGGGGGCGCCTGTGGCCACGCCCGCCAAGGTCTGGAGCGTCGGCGGGGGCGTCGCGGTGGAGTGCCGCGGCGCCCTCGAGCAGCCGTCCGAGAACGCCGAGCAGGCCCAAAAGGGCCACGTGCGAACTCACGCCTGCGCCCCGCAATTTCTGAGAGGGGTGGTAGGGTTCACTTTGCTCGGGAGCTGCCGAACGAAGTGAACCCCGCCCTCCTCCTCAGAAACCGCGCGTCGGGTTCGCATGTGGCCCCCCGGGGCCGCCGCGGGGGCCCTCCGCAAGCTTGGCGTAATTGTGCCTGGCGAGAGTTGTCCTGCGCCGAGCAACGTAGCGTTCCAAGCCGACGGTTGTCCCCGCGGCCTGTGGGCGCGTCGTTGGATCGAGCGCGCCCGGCGCGAGATCCGGGGCGAGGGCCGCCGAAAGCCCGCAGGCATCAACGCGATGTGCGCCCGAGGCAACGAGTGGATCAACGACTTCAAGGAGGCCAGCGACAACGACTTGGCCAAGGCCAAGGCCAAGGCCAAGGCCAAGCACGAGTCCAGGCCCCGCGAGGGCCCCGCGGAGGCCGAGCCGAAGTGCGCCACCGTCGAGGAGGCAGGCGCCGCCGCCCAAGCGTGTGCCAACTGTCTGCCATGCGCGGACGGCTCCAAAGGATGCCGTGCTTGCGCGGGGAATGGTTCCATGTCCAGCGCAAGAGAGGTGTCTTGGCCAGAAAGGGCCACGGACCTCTCTTGCGCTGGCAAGTTGTAGGCGCGAGCCTTCAGGTCTCTCGAGTCAGTCTTGTGCCGGGCACCTGCTGGCAAGTTGCGTGGCCACGAGTCTCGAGATCTCTCGAGTCAGTCTTGTGCCGAGCGCCTGCTGGCAAGTAGTGTAGCCACGAGCATCGAGATCTCATCGAGTCAGTCTTGTCCCGAGCGCCCAGGGTCACCGTCATCATGATCATCGTCATCGTCGTCATCATATCTTACTTCCCCGGGCAAATCCATTATTATTCCCGCCAGACCCCCGAAGGTTGCATTATCCCCGCCAGGCCACCGAACTTTATTACCCCCCGCGCTATGTTGCACATGCGCATGCGTGCACGTGCATGCCGACGCGGATGCGTGGCGCGCGCGGGCACGCGCGCGCGCGCAAGCACGCACTCAACACACATTCACAATCACGTAAACACTCGAACACAAACCAGCAAACACACTGACACACAAACGCACAACGCACACCAACACACGCACACACGCAGCACCCGCAGCACACACAAACACACAAACACACAAGCTCAGAACACACACGAGAAACTAGGCAAATCAATGGACAAACGAATCAATACACACAAACGCACGAAATAACGCACCGCAAGGACATGCGCACAGGCACACTCACGAACGCACGCACGCACTCATGTGCACTCGCGAACATGTGCGCACGCGCGCGCGCGCCCGCGGGCGCGCGAGCACGCGCGCGCACGCGCCTCGCACGCGCGCGCGCACGCATGCACGCACACACACACACGAACACACACACACACACACACACGACACACACGCGCACACATGCGCGCACACGCACACGCACGCGCACACGCATGCGCACGCGCACACGTACACGCACACTCACACGCAGACGGGGCATGCACACGCACGCGCGCGCACGCGCACACAGACGCGGCACGCGCGCGCGCACGCGCACGCGCGCGCACGCGCACGCGCACGCGCACACGCACACGCACACACGCACACGCGCACGCACGCGCACACGCACACGCGCGCGCGCACGCACACGCACGCGCGCGCGCACGCGTACGCGCGCGCGCGCGCTCACCCGCGCGCGCACGCGCGCGCGCGCACGCGTGCGCACGCTCTCAGGCGCACACACGCACGCTCGCGCACACGCGCGCACTTTCTGGTCGGCGGGGCGAGAGCGAACCTCTTCCGCTAAAAGCTTGGCGGGCTACGCACAGCTTTAATTAGGGGGGCAGGGCGCAGGCAGGCGGGGCCCCATGCGGCCTGAGTGGGCGGGGCCCGGGGTGCAGGCGGTGCCGATGAGCTTGCGCGGGAAAAGGTGCGCCGCGGACAGGGGCCGGAGGCGAAGATCCGGAGGGTGAGCGATGTGGTGTTGCCGTCAACGGCACGTCGTGAACACTAGCCTCAAGCACTGCAGAGGAGGACGTGCTACTCGACCAGGTCGACGTCCAGGAGGGAGAGGGGCACCATGAAGGCGATGAGCAACGTTGTGCCACCAGATGATGTGGAGGAGGCCCAGGAGGAAGAAGAGCACCACGAAGGCGATGTGCAGCGTTGTGTCACCGGGTGATGCGGATGAGGCCCGGGGTGGTAGTCCAATCCACGACCAGGCAGCAGCCAGCTATAGTTGCGGCCACAGACGAGGGCCGTCCTTGTCCGACAGGATGTCGGTGGAGTGTGCAGGAAGAACATCTGTCCTGCACCGCCAGCGCGTGGAGACGGGCAGCAGCCGCGCACGATGCGCTGACGTCCGCGTGGCCGAGGGCCTAAGCCGCGCAGCGCCATGGCGAGCGGGGCCGCCGAGGCGGCAATGTGCAGCGCCCGGCACCGGGCCAAAGCCGCGCAGTGCCGGGCGCTGCTGCCATGGGGGGGGCGGGAGCGAGCGGGGGGGGAAGAAGCGAACGGGGTTTAGGGGCCGCCGGGTCCACGCCGCCTGGCCCTCCCTCTTCTCTCGCGATGCTGCCGCTGCCGCCCCCTCCTCCTTCCATCGTGCTGCCGCTGCCGCCGTCGTGCTCTCCATCTCTTCCCGCCGTGCCGCTGCCGCGGCCGCTGCGCTCCGCGCCGCTGCCCTCGAGGACAGCTGCCACTGCGAACGCGTGCTCTCCTCGCGCGCGCTGTTCGGGGTGCCGCGCGTGATGGTGTTGGGCTCCAGCTTCGCGTCTGCCGTCTCGCTCAGCCGCGCCATTGCCTGCTGCCTCTGGCAACGCCTGCTCTTCTCGCACTCGCTGTTCAGGGCGCCGTATGTGATGATGCTGGGCTCCAGCTGCGCGACCGCCGTCTCGCCCAGTGACGCTTCCAATTGCTGCCGCTGGCAACGCCTGCTCTCCTCGCGCGACCTGTTCAGGATGCTGTAGGTGATGATGTTGGGCTCCAGCTTCACGATCACCGTCTGGCGCAGCAGCGCCGCGACCTGCTGCCGCAGCCAACGCCTGCTCTTCTCGCGCTCGCTGTCCACAGTGCCGTAGGTAATGAAGTTGGGCTCCAGCTTCACAACCGCCATCTCGCTCAGCAGCGCCACGGGTTCCTGCCGCAACCGACGCCTGCTCTTCTCGCACGCGTAGTTCACAGTGACGTAGGTGATGTTGGCGGGCGCCAGCTTCGCGACCACCATCTCGCACGGCAGCGTCACTGCTCACTGCCGCTACCAACGCCTGCTCCTCTCGCACGCGCTGTTGAGGGCGCCGTAGGTGAGAATGTTGGGCTCCAGCTGCGCGAACGCCATCTCGCTCGGCGACGCCGCCAACTGCTGCCGCTGGAAACGCCTGCTTTCCTCGCGCTCGCTGTCCAGGGCGCCGTAGGTGATGATGTTGGGCACCAGCTTCGCGACCCGGATCTCGGTCAGCAGCGCCGCAGCCTGCTGCCGCTGCCAACGCCTGCTCTTCTCGCACGCGCTGTTCACAGTGGCGTAGGTGATGCTGTTGGGCTTCAGCTTCGTGTCCTGGATCTCGTTCGGCAGCGCCACTGTTTGCTGCCGCTGCAAATGCCTGCTCTTTTTGCACGCGCTGTTCACAGTGACCTAGGTGATGATGATGTCGGGCTCTTGCTTCGCGACTGCCGTCTCGTTCAGCAGTGCCGCGACGTGCTGCCGCTGCCAGCGCTTGTTCTTCTCGCGCGCGCTGTTCACAGTGCCGTAGGTGATGACAGTATCGCTACTGCTGGTTGCCACTGCCAACGCCTTCTCTTCTCGCGCGTCCTGCTCGCAGCGCCGTGGGCGATGATGCCGGGCTCCAGCTCCGCGAGCAGGGTCTCGCTCAGCAGCGCCGCAGCTCGCTGCGATTGCCAACGCCTGCTCTTCATGCACGCGCTGTTCACAGTGCCGTAGGTGATCTTGGCGGGCTCCGGCTTCACGGCCGCCATCTCGCTCAGCAGCGCCACGGGTTGCTGCCGCAAGCGACGCCTGCTCTTCTTGCGCGCGTTAGTGTTCACAGTGACGTATGTGATGCTGGCGGGCTCCAGCTTCGCGACCGCCATCTCGCACGGCAGCGCCGCTGGCCGCTGCCGCTGCCAGCGCCTTCTCTCTCGCGCGCGTTGTTCACGGCGCCGTAGGTGATCTTGGCGGGCTCCGGCTTCACGACCACCATCTCGCTCAGCAGCGCCACTGCAAATTGTCACCTCCAACGCATGCCCTTCTCGCACGCGCTGTTCAGGACGCAGTAGGTGATGATGTTGGGCTCCAGCTTCACGACCACCATCTCGCGCCGCCACGACCTGCTGCCACTGCCAGCGCCTGCCTTTCCTGCGCGCGCTGTTCACAACCGCGATCTTGCTCAGCAGTGCCAGTGCTGGCTGCCACTGGCAGCGCCTGCTCCTCTCGCACGCGCTGTTCACAGTGCCGTAGGTGATGATGTTGGGCTCCAGCTTCACGACCCGGATCTCGCTCAGCAGCGCCACTGTTTGCTGCCACTGCCAACGGCCGCTCTTCTCGCGCGACCTGTTCAGGATGTCGTAGGTGATGATGATGTTGGGTCTCAGGTTCACGACCACGATTTGGCTCAGTAGCGCCGCTGTTTACTGCCACTGCCGACGCCTGCTCTTCTAGCACTTGCTGCTCGCAGTGCCGTAGAATGCGATGATGGTGGGCTCCAGCTTCACTCCCAAGATCTCGCCGAGCCGAGCCAGAGCTGGCTGCCGCTGCCCCTTCTCGCAGGCGCTGATCACAGTGCTGCAGCGGCTGATGTTGGGCTCCAGCTTCACGACTGCCATCTCGCTCAGCAGCGCCACAACCTGCTGCCGCTGCCAGCGCCTGCTCTTCTCGCACGTGCTGTTCACGATGCCGTAGGTGATGATGTTGGGCTCCAGCTTCGCTACCAAGATCTCGCTCTGCAGCGCCACTGCTTGCCGCCACTGCCAACGCCAGTTCACGCGCGCGCTGTTCACTGCCACAACCTGCTGCCACTGCCAACGCCTGCTCTTCTCGCACGCGCTGTCCACAGTGCCGTAGGTGATGATGTTGGGCTCCAGCTTCGCGACTGCCATCCCGCTCAGCAGCGCCATGGCCGGCAGCCACTGCCGCGGCCTTCTCGCCTCGCACGCTCTGTTCGGAGTGCTCTGACTGATGATGGTTGGCTCCAGCTTCAGTCTCCGCATCTCGCTGGGCAGCGCCAGGACCGGCTGCCAGTGCGCTTGTCCTTCCCTCTCGCGTGCGCTGCCCAGGGTGCTGCGGAAGATGAGCTCCTGCTTCAGGCTCGGCCGCGTCCAGCCGTGGCGACGGGGCGGGAGGTCGGGGGGGGAGAGGAGTGTGGTAAGGGCTGGGAGAAGGAACTTCTGCCACTGTGCTGGTCCCGACCTCGCTCCCAGCGTCTCGCTGAGCAGAGCCGGAGCTGGCTGCCGCTGCCGCTGCTCCTCCTGGTGGTCGGTACTGCTGGTCGGTGGTCGGCGCTGCTGCAGCTACGTGAGGATGACCAGGGCCTTCATCGGGATCAGGGCGACTAACGGTCGCATATTCAGGGTGATCAGAGGGCGGAGGAAGGGGGGATTGGGGATCAGGGCGACTAACGGTCGCAATTACTTGTGAGATTGGGGAGAGGGAAGTGGTCAGGTCTGTCTGTCCAGGGGCACGCGCGGGATTAGGGCGACTAACGGTCGCATTTTCAGGCAGCACTCGGCGCTGCTGCTGCTGCTGCTGCAGCTGGTCGCTGGTCGGCGCTGTTGTCGGTCGCTGCTGCTGGTCGGCGCTGCTGCTGGTCGGTTGTCCCGGTTGTCGGTGCAGCTGGTCGGTGGTCGGTGCTGCTGCTGGTCGACGCTGCTGCTGCAGCCGGTCGCAGGTCGGTGCTGTTGCTGGTCGGTGCTGCTGGTCGGTGCTTCTGCTGGTCGGTGGTGATGGTGGTCGGTGCTGCTGGTCGGTGGTTGGCGCTGCTGCTGGTTGGTGTTGCTGCTGCAGCGGGTCGCTGGTCGATGTTGCTGCTGGTAGGTGCTGCTGGTCGATGTTGCTGCTGGTCGGCGGTCCTGGTGGTCGGTGCTGCTGGTCTGTGGTCGGCGCTGCTGCTGCTGCTGCTGCTGTTGTTCGGTGCTGCTGCTGCTGCAGCGGGTCGCAGGTCGGTGCTGTTGCTGGTTGGTGCTGCTGGCCTGTGTTGTTACTAGTCAGTGGTCCTTGCAGTCGGTGCTGCTGGTCGGTGGTCGGTGCCGCTGTTTGTCGGTGCTGTTGCTGCAGCGGGTCGCTGGTCGGTGCCTGTGTTGGTCGGTGTTGCTGGTCTGTGTTGCTGTTGGTCGGTGGTCCTGGTGGTCTGCGCTGCTGGTCGGTGGTGGGGGCTGCTGCTGGTCGGTGCTGCTGCTGCGGCCGGTCGAAGTCGTCGTCGGATGGGGCCGCCAGATCCACACCGCCTGGCCCTCCCTCTTGTCCCACGATACTGCCACTGCCGCCCCCTCCTCCTTCCATCGTGCTGCCACTGCCGTCGTCGTGCTCTCCATCTCTTCCCACCGTGCCACTGCCGCGGCCACTGCGCTCCGTGCCGCTGCCCTCGAGGACAGCTGCCACTGCGAACGCATGCTCTTCTCGCACGCGCTGTTCAGGGTGCCGTGCGTGATGGTGTTGGGTTCCAGCTTCACTGCTGCCGTCTCGCTTAGCCGCGCCATTGCCTGCTGCCTCTGGCAACGCCTGCTCTTCTCGCACTCGCTGTTCAGGGCGCCGTATGTGATGATGCTGGGCTCCAGCTGCACGACCGCCGTCTCGCCCAGCGACGCTTCCAATTGCTGCCGCTGGCAACGCCTGCTCTCCTCGCACGACCTGTTCAGGATGCTGTAGGTGATGATGTTGGGCTCCAGCTTCACGATCACCGTCTGGCTCAGCAGCGCCACGACCTGCTGCCACAGCCACCGCCTGCTCTTCTCGCACTCGCTGTCCACAGTGCCGTAGGTGATGATGTTGGCGCACACGCACCCACGCACACACGCACACACGCACACACGCACACACGCACACACACGTGGACACAAATGAGCGCCGATTTCCAGGAACATATGGAAAGTATGCAGAGTGGTGGGGAATGCGAAGTTCACGATAATATGGACAAGCATGGGGCTCCTGGGACTTTTGCCTATGTGCTTGTGTGCCCAAGGGCTTGCCAGGATGATGAAGCCTTGGCTGGCCGCCCCTGCCGCTCCAAGGCGATGCGCCTCGCCCTGTGAGTGCACCTCGCCCCGTGGTGCCGCCCGCCTGTTCCATTCTCCCCCCTCTCGCCGTTGGAGAACTGGCGCTTGCCTCCTTTCGGCCCGCTCGAGCGCGCGTGCGGGCTGCCTCTGCCGCGCTGCGACGTAAAACAGTGTGCCCCAAGGCACTCCCCAGGAGTTGGCGGCGCCGCCTGGGAGCGGAGGCCAGTGGCCGATGGTCGTGCCGCGGCGAGGTTCGCGGAGAGGGGTGGCTCTCTCGGAGGCGGCGCCTGGCTCAGTCGACAGGCTGCTGGGCGGGTTCGGAGAGGGCCAGCATTTAGGGGGAACGAAAGGGGGGAGAGGCATAGGGGGGGATGCGTTGAGCCCCCAATCGCCCACTGATCGCCGAGAGGGTCCCGATAGCCCCACCCCGTCCAAGAAAAACCGCGGATTCGCGATCGGCGGCCTATCGCCGATTCATTGGCGATGTATCGCCGATTCCAGGTCGGTGTCCCCCCTTCTGCCAGTCTCCTTTTTTTTGTCCCTCACGAAAGGGGGGAAGGGGGAGAGGTGCAGCATCGGTAGACCAATCCCAATCCTTACAGGGTGCACCCCGCAGAAGAATTGGTGGCACAGGCTTGAATTCCAAGACTTTAGAAGTTTCTGCAGCAACCCGCAGTTGCGGATAATATTGGGTGAGGGACACTCAGGCACAACGACAGGGGGATGGGCATAGAGGGGGATACATCGACCTCCAATCGCCCATTGATCGCCGATAGGGTCCCGATAACCCCACCCCCCGCCCAGGAAAACCGCGGATTCGCTATCGGCGGCCTATCGCCGATTCCAGGTCGATGTTTCCTCCTTCTGCCAGTCCCTTCCTATCGTTGCCCTTCAAGCATCGACAGACCAACCCCAGAACCTCGCAGAAGAACTGATGACATACACTTGAATCCTCCGGCCTCCAGAAATTCATGTTTGTGCAATTGTTTTTTCCTGAACCGTCATCGGTTGAGCCTTGTCCCCCCGCGGGCGGACCTACCTTCCGAGGTGGGGACCGATGCCGTCTACATTGGATTCCGTGGCACCTATCCCCACCCAGGAGGCAGTAGACTGGTTACGCTGCAGAGCCTTGACCGACTGGGGATTGGGATCGGTCTTGCGACACTGAGTGGATGGGGAGGGAAGCGGGATTTGCTATTCAAGGCCTCCTAAATGGGAGAATTGCGCCGAATCGCCAGCGATGCGGCGCGATCGGAAGCTTTATTTCCCAACCATCCTGTTGTGTTGGGTCCTCATTTTGAAGAGACAGCGCCCCGCGTCTCCTTCCCTCCCACTGCCCCTCCTCCCCATCCTCCCATCCCTGCCACTGCCTTCCCACACAAGCGTTTCGTGGCCATAGGCCAGATATGACCCACCTGGGCATCCACTGCTAATCCCCCTCGATCCCCTTAGCAACGCCCGCGCAGATCCAAGGGAGATCCTGGCGTCCCAATTCTTTCGAGCCCAGCGTTTTTTCGCCTGGTCTCGGATCCAGCTCGGAAAATGGCGCAGAAAGATGGGGCCCAGGGCTCTGGTCGTGAATTTCCCCGATGTTGGAATTTCTTCGCTGCGCCGGATCCAGGGTTTGCCCTCGGCCAACCGCGCCGATCCCAGTACGGGATGGCCGAGCTTGGCGCCCGCCGCCAACAGGTTGGCCAGAGCCTTTCGGGCCGAGGGCGTCGCGGCGGTGCGCGCGGTGCTGGCCGACTTCTGCGCCGAGCTGCAGCGGCGGGCGTGACGGCCCCGCGCTGGCCTGGGGCGCTCGTCGCGCCAGGGCCCCGGGGGCTCTGGAGGATCGAAGTGGCCAGGGGCAACATTCGGGGGGGGGGAGGGGCTCAGAGGTTCGAGGTTCGAGGATCGGGGTGCACCCCCAGTTCGAGGTTCTAGGTTCGAGGTTCGAGGTTCGAGGTTCGAGGTTCGAGGAGGTCCAGGGATAGGTCTTTGGCTCTGGACCAGGGGCTCGAGGGTCGAGGTTTGCGGGCGCCTTCGTCGGACCTCGCTGGTTTTTCCAGCCTCGGGACGCTCCCCAGCAGCTGCGCCTGGCCGCGAGCGTTGTGGGGTGTCTGTGTCGTCCCGAACGGCCGCCGGAGAGCCGAGTTATCGGAGGGCACCAACTATACACGAACACCGATCCTGGCCCAGGATCACCCTGGGCCCATGATCGGTGTATATGCCCTCTTGCCCAAGGCAGGAGGGCGTATACACCGATCCTGGGCCCAGGATGATCCTGGCCAGGATCGGTGTTGGTGTATAGTTGGTGCCTCCCTAGAGTTATGGCACGAAAACCAGGGGGCGAGGTCAGGAGGGGATAGGCCCAGGGACAGGGATGCATCGACGCCCGATCGCCGATTCATCGCCGATAGGGGCTCGATAGCCCCACCCCGATTTTTATCTGCGACGTACCGCCTCTTCCAGGTCGATGTTTCCCGCCCTCAGCTGGACCCCCCCACCTTCCCCCTCACGACCGCCGATGCCAGTTTTGGTGCCAACCTCTGAGCCTCCCAGTCGGCATCTCCGCGGGCCGGGGTGGGACCCCCCTGACGTTCCCCCTCGCCACCGCCGACATTGCTGTTGGTGCCAACCTCTGAGCCTCCCAGTCGGCATCTCCGCGGGGCACTTCCAGGGCGTCCCCGCACGCCGCGGCGAGGCCGGCCGCGAACACCGCGCCCGGCGGGCTGCCCTGGAGAGGGACTGGGCTTCTCCCGGGAGGACAAGAGCCCTGAGATCTTGGCGCCTCGGTTTTTCGAGCCGGGCGTTTTCGCCCAGTCTCGGGCCCCAGGACCCTCACAGATCAATCCGGCTCGAAGCAATGGCGCAGAACGACGGGGCCCGAGGTTCTGGGCGTGATCTTGCGCGGCGTTGCTCTTTCTCCGCTCCGTCGCAACTCAGGGCAAAGTATCAATGACACGCCGCCGCTGGGTAGCCCGTCAGCGTGCTGCTCCCTCGTTTTTTGCCCGAGGTCCTGGTGCTTCTTCAGCAGGGGCGCGCTGATGGGTTCTCATCTGGGCTCGGCGCGGAGGTTGCTAAGGGTATAGGGGGGGACTATCAGTGCATGTCAAGGTGGCTTACACCCTAGGCGATGCTTAAGAAAACTTACGTTTTCGGCCAGAGTCTCGATTATTCTTAATGTTTCAATGTAAATCCTAAAATTTGAATAGAATTCCTGTCTTTATATCAAATTCTGAGACGATGAATTTCTTAACCCATGATTTCTTAAGCATTTCGCAGGGTGTATATCTGATCCAGGGTTGCCCCCCCCCCCCCCCCGCCCCCCATGCACATGGGATCGAGCCCCAACGACCCTCCGCTGGGCAGGTACGCCCGTGAGCGTCGCGATGGCTTCGCGAATGTGATTGGCCCCCCCCCCACCGTTTGGTCGTGGCCCTGTGGGCGTGGCGTGGTGGAGGGTGGACGTTTCGCTGCTTTCGCCGAGAGCTTTCTGAGACCAAGGTCGCACGTCGTCGTCGTCGTCGTCGTCGTCGTCGTCGTCGTCGTCGTCGTCGTCGTCGTCGTCGTCGTAGTCGTCGTCTTCGTCCGATCCCATCTGGGTGGAGCCGTGGGGCCCATCCCATGGGGGGGGGGCCTGTGAGCCCCCGACCCGGGATCGTATCTGGTCTGTCCTGGCTTATGAGTGGGTTACACATGCCCAGATGTTTGATCGGGGGTGGACAGAACCCCCAACAGTGACACGTCGATTAGTGCATTGTCCGTTTTCGGTTTTCGAGAGGGCGCCGTGGCCGTTATTTTCCAGGCTTGCGCCCGCCAGGTTTGGGCCCGAAGTCGTTTTCACTAAACCACGTTTTGCTAAAGGGAGGTCTGTCCATCCCCGATTTGAGAGGGAGTCAGACAAGACCAGATCGTTCATCCCCCTCGGCCACTTGGCGCATGCGTAACCCCCATCTGTAGGCCAGGTCAGGCCAGATGTAGCCCACCTTGTGCATCCACTGATACCACCCTCTTCCCTTGCCCCCCCCATCGGTGATCACACATTGATGCCGTCTTTGCCCTCCCGACTCTCGGCTCCGCCGCGCCCCGGGGCGGCCGGGCTGCCGCGCTCCGACGGCGGCCGGAAAAGCCAGCGGGCGGGCCTCTCCTGGGGGGCGCCGCCGCCAGGTTTCCTTCGATGTGATCTTTCCAGTGCGGGCGCTCTTTGGCTCGAAGAAGAAGACAGATAATGATAATATTAATGGTAACAATACTAATGATTTTATTAGCAATAGTAATAATCATCACCATCATCATCACCATCAGAAAAAATAATACGAAACATAAGGAACATAATAACAAGAGGCATGAACATCAGCTCTCGCAGCTTCGCGCGATTCCATTGGATCGGCGTTGGACCCCCCCCTGGCGGCATCTCTGGCGCCGCCCCTGGCGCGCTCCGCGCGCCAGGGAGAGGAGGTCCAGCGCCGATCCAAGAAGTTCGCGCTGACCTCCGAAGATTTTGGTCCATGGCGTTCTTTGTTCCTCCCTTTTCCTCGGTTTCGGCCTTCGGGGGTCGTCGTTGGGCCCCAGGGCCATCAACAATGGGCCCGAAATAAAAAAGCTACTCCTGGGGGCCCGTGGTTTTTGGGGCCGCACACTGAAGCCACTTCTCCGGCGGATGTCATGAACAGGGGGCAGGTTTGGCTCAGGGGGGGAAGCCCTGCGATCCTGGCGTTGCAATTTGTCTACGTCGGGCGATCTCGCCCCGTCTCGAGCCCTGGGGGTCTCACAGGTCGACCGGGCTCGAGAGATGCCGCAGGAACAGGGAGTCCGGGGCTGCGGTCGTTTTTTTCCAACGATGCTTCATTTTTCTCGCGACTTCGGATCTCGACCATCGACCCCCAATCGCCCATTCATCGCCGATCGTGGCCTGGGTGTCCCGATCTGCCCAGGAACATGCAGTTTCACCATCGAGGGCCCATCGCCGATCCATCGGCGATATGGGTCTCCGATTCCGTGTCCCCTCTATCGCTACTCCTCGTCCTCGTCTTCTTGTTTTTGCCGTTATCGCTACTCCTCGCAGCTCCTCTTGCCCCTTCGCAGCCAGGAGAGGTACGGCAGGCTCGCGCCATGTCGACGCGGCGGCGACCCCACCGCAGGCGTTCCAAGGTTGAACGCCGCCCGTGGCCCAGAATCGGAGTCGGACAAGATGGAATGATTTGGCCATGCGCGGCTTTTCCTCCCTGTGCTGTCGTCACGCCGCTGGGAGGAGGAGAAGGAGGAGGAGGAGGAGGAGGAGGAGGAGGAGGAGGAGGAGGAGAAGGAGGAGGGGGGAGGAGGGAGGAGGGAGGAAAGGAGGACGAAAAGGACAAGGAGGAGGAGGAGGAGAGGAGGAGGGAGGAGGAGGAGGAGGAGGAGGAGGAGGAGGAGGGGAGGAGGAGGAGGGAGGAGGGAGGAGGGAGGAGGGAGGAGGGAGGAGGGAGGAGGAGGGGGAGGAGGGAGGAGGAGGAGGGAGGGGGAGGAGGGAGGAGGAGGAGGGAGGAGGGAGGAGGGAGGAGGGAGGAGGGAGGAGGGAGGAGGGAGGAGGGAGGAGGGAGGAGGGAGGAGGGAGGAGGGAGGAGGAGGAGGAGGGGGAGGAGGAGGGAGGGAGGAGAGGAGGAGGGAGGAGGAGGAGGAGAGAGAGGAGGAGGAGGAGGAGAGGAGGAGGAGGAGGAGGAGGAGGAGGAGAGGAGGAGGAGGAGGAGGAGGAGGAGGAGGAGAGGAGGAGAGGAGAGGGGAGGAGGAGGAGGAGGAGGAGGAGGAGGAGGAGGAGGAGGAGGAGGAGGAGGAGGAGGAGGAGGAGGAGAGAGGAGGAGGAGAGAGGAGGAGGAGGAGGAGGAGGAGGAGGAGGAGGAGGGAGGAGGAGGCGGGAGGCGGGAGGAGGAGGAGAGGGAGGGATGAGGAGGATGAGGGAGGGAGGAAGGGAGGAGGGAGGAGGGTGGGGAGGGAGGGAGGGAGGAGGGAGGAGGGAGGAGGGAGGGAGGGGGGGAGGGGGGAGGAGGGAGGGAGGAGGGAGGGGGAGGGTGGGAGGAGGAAGGGATGGCAGGAGGAGGTTTCCCAAAACAGCCCTCCGGGAGAACCTGGGAAACGGAACAGCGGCCGGAAAAACCGGCTTGCCGCCAGGGACTGGCCCGATTGAGCCTCGCGCTCTGGAGGGGGCCAATCGGCCAGGGAAGGCCCAACATTTCGAGCCGAATCCAGCGAAAACCCCAAAGACGTGGATAAGACGCCGGGGGCGAGGGCGACGGTCCGCGCGAAGCGTCGACGGGGGGTCCCCGTCCAGCCGCCCGTCTGGGCCAGCGGCGGGCGTGCAGCAAGGGAGGGGGAGGCGCAGATCAGGATGATGATTTTCACGGGCCGCGCGGAACAGCAGTGCCTCGAAGGGAGCGCGTCTGCGCCGCAGGCCGTGCCGAGTGCAGCCAGCGTGCTGCACTGCGCTGCCAGTGAGCAGCAACGCTGCCAGAGGGCAGCTGGCACCCCCTACGAAGCCCAGCGTCTCTCACATCCGCCGCTGCCACACGCGACGCGCCACGGGCGAACCCGACCGTGGTCCAGTCGGGGACGGGTCGGCAGCCGCTGACCTGAGCGAGACCGCGTCAGGGGGCGCGTCGCCGGCGGCCGCTGCGTCGAGCAAAAGCTTCCCCCTTTCCCCATCAGTGAAGCGGGAGTGAAAGGAGCGCATGACTTCTGCCGAAGCCCATCCGCCTTGCGCCTGGATGACCTCATCCGTCAGCCCCTCGGACATCCGCCACCAGTGCGCGCCCTCTTTCCGGAAGGAATGGGTGCCGACGTTGCGATCCCTCAAGGTGCGGGCTAGGCTACGACGAACTGTCTCGTATGACTCTGGGCGAGGGTCCACGCAGCCAGTGACGCAGAATTGCGTCACTTCGGGCGCCGTGCCGTACGTGTCCTGGCGTTGCGCCAGCCACCGCCGTGCAAGCAGGAGCGGGCATAAGGCCCCCAATTCTGGCGGCGCCTGTAACCAACATAGCATCCCATGGCCGTTCGGGTCGTTCTTCTGTTTGCGGATGCGCAGTTGCAGGCAGCCATCCGCGTCGACTGCGTCGCGGAGCTCCAACGCCAACACCTCAGCAGAACGGCGGATGCAGAAAAAGGCCACGCCGGCGAGGGCAGCATCCCGCAATCCCGCTGGGGTGCCAGTGGCCAAACGCGTCCTCTGGTAAAGCGTAAGGCCATGCAGTGTCAAAGGGCGCTTCGCCGTGCTAGCCGTATGATCAGCTAGCTTCTTCAAGCCAAGCCAGAAATCCATGGTGCGCGGCGTCCTCGAGGCCTAGAGCTGGACGCAATCGCGCTCGACATGCCGCGCCCGAGCAGCCGCTTTCGCCGTGGTGATTGTCGCCCAAGGCCGCCCCGCCTGTCCGCCGAACAGCGTCATACTCTTCACGTCCGTTTCGGTCGGAAGCAACTGCAAACGAGTCTCCGATTCGACTGAACTCACCATGCCGCGCAGGATTGAGTCGTAGCGGTCGCGGGTCGACTGTTCCCAAGCTGCGGCGAAACGCTGCTGGATGGCTGCGGCCGCTTTCGCCTTGGCGTCCCTCTCGAGCGGCTGGCGCGCCGAGCTCGTAAGCAGGGCATGCGTCGCGGGCGGGCCCTTCAGCCTCCTCCCTCCCAGTGCGTCCTGCAACGCCACTGCGTCTTCTGCCGCGTGGCCCTCCGGGGCAGGGTTGGACTCGCCGCGCTGCCGCGGCGGGCGCTCCCTAGAAGCGCCTGCCGGGGCGTGGGCGTCGGCGTGCGCGGCGGGAGTGCTGCGCCCCGATCCTTGCGTCTGGGCATGGTGCGCTGCCTGAAACAGCGGATCGCCATCGCCTGCCGATCTGGGTCTGTCTTGGTCTTGGCGCCTCGGTGAGAAACCGCGGGGGTCGCGCGGCCAGCCCAGACGGTCACGGACGAGGGCGCGCTCGCGGTCGTGGAGCTGATATTGGCGGGGGCGGTCGCGCAGGCCGCGGGCGAGGGCGTGCTGTTGCGCATGCCGCTCTGGCCCTCATGGACGAGGACGATGCGTCGAGCGCCGACAGCGACTTGAGCTTGCGCGCCCCCGTCGACGCAGAAGACAGCGACCACGAGGACAGCGGCGTGGCCACGGACGAGTACTGCGCCTCCTTGTTTGAGAGCTCAGATGGCGAAGGCGAGGGCGGAGGCGAAGGCGAATCAGACGAAGGGGGCGTCGGCGGTATCATTGATGATGTCGGCGGCGGTCGCATCGGGGGCGGCGGTGCAGATCCGCCGCCAGGCGAGCCGCCTGGCCCGCCAGCTGCTGGCCCAGCTGCGCCAGGAGTTCCACCTCCACCTGTTCTGCCCCCACTAGACATCGTTCCAGTTGGAGGCGGCAATTTAACAGTGTATCTTCCTGGCAACCACAAGCTCAGCTATTGCAAGAATGGTGATCAATTTGAAATGACTTGCGGCAACAAGGCCGATCATGGACCTCGCCGATTGACCAGGAAAGCACGCGGCGCCACGGGGCGTCGCGCAGCCGCTTATCAGGAGCAGGGTCGGCCACTTGGATTACTTTTGGCGCGGGCGTTCCTCGGGTGCGGCTGCGGTTCCCAGTTTGAGCACTTGAAGTTTCAACCCACGCTTGAGCAGCGCCAGAGGTGCCGCCAGCAGTTGCTCGAGCGGTGGGGCGACGCTGCCGCGGCCATGTTCAGCCGCGATCGCGAGCAGCGCGCTGATGGGCCTGCAGGGCCGATCAGGGCTCCTTGCGGATTCAAAGGGTTGCGCTTGTTTGCCAGAGTTGCGTTGGATGATGTAATTCATCCGCCTTTTCGCCCCCCTCCTCTTCCGCGCCCGCCTCCGCGGTGGGGTGCCTGCGTGAGGCGCCCATCCTCTTCCTTCCTCCACTTCTTCTTCCCCCTCCTCCGTCAGATGTTTCTTGCTCACCGTCCCTCCACTGTCTCCGCCTTCCCTTCTCCGTCGACCCACCCCCTATTCAGCCTACTCCTGACTCCCTCCTCGCAGCCCATTGTCAGAAAGCGCTGTTCCGACACTACCTCGCGACAGGCGTGTCCAACAACAAGTTTTCAAACATTCCATGGCGTATTTTGTGGAAGGGTTTGAAGACCCTTTGAAAGCCTTTGAACCCCCCTCCCAGGACGTTTCAAACGCCATTTGAGGGCCTTGAGCGGTTTTGTTTTTCTCTTGACAGCCTTCGCGGGGGGAGTGTCCGACAATTCTTTGAAGCAAAACCCTTCCACTGACCCTTCGAAGTGGCGCGGTATCACGCGAACCCGTGCATGCATGACTCGATGCATGTCGACATGCGATGCCAAATTGCTGGTATCGGCATCCAACAGGCCTCCAAAAGGCTTCCAAAAGGCCTCCACAAGGCCTCCAAGCCTCCAAAAAGGCATCCACAAGGCCTCCACAGGGCCTCCAACATGCCTCCAAGATGGCTCCAATATGGCTCCAACATGTCTCTTACTTAACATGTGTTGTGTTAAGACATCGTAATTTCCAAACTCATTCATGCACACACGTATACAGATACATACACGCATATCTATGTATACATATACACATATTCATATTATACATACATGCCCGCGCGCGCTAAGTACCCCCTTGGGGGGCGCGCAAGCGCGCGAAGCCCCCCCCCCTGGGGGTGCCTTGGCGGCGGGCCGCGCGCGCTAGGTACCCCCCCCCCCCCTAGGGGGGTGCCTGGCCCTTGCGCGCGTGCGCTAAGTACCCCCCTTGGGGTGGCCTGGGCGGTGGGCCGCGCGCGTTAAGTGCCACCCTAGGGGGGGTACCTGGCCCTTGCGCTCGCGCTAAGTACCCCTTCAGGGGGGGAGCTGCACCTCGGCCTTCGTGGTTGGATGCGCCTCGCACGAGGGTAAGTTTTAGGGCGTCCGCGGCCGTTGTGCCGCCTGTGGGATGTCCGTGCGTCCGCCCTCCCACTTCGTCGCGGCCGTTTGCTCGGGCGATGTCTGCGCGCGCAGCGCAGTGTGCGAGGGGGTGGCCCCCCCCCCCCCCCCCCCCTCCAGATGCCAGCCCTGGCCTGGCCGATCTCCAGTTAGCCCGACAGTTGCCGCGCTGAGCTGGGGTGCGGTTTTCGCCCAGCAGCTAGACAGGTCTTCTCTTTCGGCAGTGTGGGCGGCGCCGCGGCCGCAGGGGTTTCCTGTCGCGCAGAACGATCGCCTCTAGAAAAAACTGATCGCCTCGTCATGGGTGTGCGCTACAAAGAAGTGCCGGCGAAGTTGTTGGGGATGCCGAGGTCCATTGTGCCCCCTTCCCGCCATGTCCATAATCATATGTGTTCAAGCCTCGATTGGTTTCTGTCATCACCCGCCCGCGTGACACCCTCCCTGGCCTGGTGTAGCTTTGACCCGCCCGAGCCCCAGCTAGCCCGAGAGTTGCCGCGCTGCGCGGGGGTCGGGTTTTCGCGCAGTTCGGCAGGCCTTCTCTTTCGGCAGCGTGGGCGGCGCCACGACCGCCGGGGTTTCCTGTTACGCAGAACGGTAGCCGCAAGAAAAACTGATCGCCTCGCCCCACAATTTCTTTCTCTTGAAGTTTCCAAGCGCTTGGGGGAACTACGTGAATATGGCGCCATGAGTGGCCCTAGAAGGCAGCGCACGTCTTCGATTTCATGCTGCCCCAGCATTGACCGATGCTTTTTCTGTTTAGAATAGGTCAGCACAGGGGGCCCAGTCCTCGATTATTCATGCCCTGACTACGTCAGATTGGGGGAGGCCCTTGGAAAGTCCAGCTGGTTCTCTGCCCCCCCCCCGTCGGCCCGGGGGAAGGGGCGTGGCCCCAAGGGGGCAGGCGCGGCCGCGCAGGCCCGACCTGTCCCGCGGCGTGGCCTCATTTTGGCCCAACCGTCACTGCAGGGCTGGCGCGCCCGTGTAGGCCCGACCAGGCCCTGTCGCCTGTGACGGGCGCGCGTTAGCGCTGGAACGTGTAGCTCACAGTTTCAGCCCGCTCTCAGTCGGTTTTCGCCTTTGGCGGTGCGGCCGCGGCTCGCTACACGCACCGCGACCAAACGCACGCGCACGCGCGCACGCGCGCACGCGCGCGCACACACACAACGCACACACACACACACACACACTCTACACACCACCACCACCACCACGCACACACACGCGCCCCCCTTCCCCCCTCCCGAATGCGTCATCTTTTGCAGGCACGTTGCCTGCTGCGGCTTGAAGGAGGACGCGTGCAATACACAATGCAAAGTGTTGCCGATTAGCTGTCTGTCTGCTCGCCAGTTTCCCATCCTGTGCAAGGAGGAGGTGCGCAAGACAAAATGCTGCCGATTGGTAGTGGTTCTGCCCGCCATTGGCATGGAATCGGCACCGCGGAGCCCACGCAAAAAAAGTTTGAACTGTGCGAGGTTTGACCGATGCATTCCCCCGCGGTTGCACCTTTCAGAGTTGGATTCGTCACGTGCCCCCTCCTCCTCATCCTCCTAATTGTCAGCCTGTCACTCCAACTGGTCCCCTCACCGCGTGCACCTGCAACAGCCACACTCCCCCGGAACACCGCCACCATGCGCACGCGCGCACGCACGCAACACGCACACGCGCGCGCGCACCACACACACAGAGACCCCACACACACCACACACACACACCACACACACACCACCACCACTACACGCACGCACACACACACACACCGCCCGACTCCCCCCCCCCCCCCCCCCCGCCACCACCACCGCGCGCGCGCGCACGCGCGCTCTTCCTCTCTCAGTATTATAGTATCTCTCTTCTCTTCTCTCGTCTCTCTCTCTCTCTCTCTCTCTCTCTCTCTCTCTCTCTCTCTCTTTCTCTTTTTCTTCTCTTCTCTTCTCTTTTCTCTCTTCTGCTCTTCTTCCCCACTCTCTCTCCTCTCTCTCTCTCTCTCTCTCTCTTCTCTCTCTCTCTCTCTCTCATCTCTTTTTTTTTTTAGTTTTTTTTTTTTTTTTTTTTTTTTTTTTTTTTTTTTTTTTTTTTTTTTTTTTTTTTTTTCTTCTTTCTTCTTCTTCTTCTTCTTCTCTCTCTCTCTCTCTCTCTCTTCTCTCTCTCTCTCTCTCTCTCTTCTCTCTCTTCTCTCTCTCTTTCTCTCTTTCGCGCGCGCCGCCGCCGCGCGCGCGCGCCGTGCTCATTCGCCCTCGCAACTGCTAAGAGGCACTGTTGGTCATACTAACCACTAACCCCTTAGAAGTACATCTGGAGCGTTCCCGACGAACTTGCATATTTTCTATTGCGCATATACATGCTGACCACGTGCTATGTCGTTGTAACACTAGCTGTCAAGTCTAATATCGGTCAAAGTGGTGTCTAGGTCGGCTAGGCGACGGCTTTACTCAGGCTCTATGTGAATCTCTGGTTGCCCAAGACACAGTGCGAAAACCGTGTGGGTAAGCTTGCATCATAGCAGCGTGCTCATCGTTGTGCAGACGGCCCAAGCCTGAACCCATACTGGGTTTGTTCTAAACAAACAAAAAAGCAGCCCGGACATGGTTTAGCCCATGCCAGCTCCTCGCACACTGGCGACCATATTGGGTTGCATCGAACTGCTGTCATTGCACGTATTGTATTGCATTGAAATACCAGCTTGCCAATGCTGTGTTGGGTGCAATTACGACACATTGGATACACAACGTGCCATTGACTTGTTCGGTTCGAAATCTGTTGAGCGGGACTCGTGCCGTGGATCATCCATTCTCCTACTCACTTGCTGTTGGCACATCGTGTCGCGTTTCGCCATGGCCCCGTCACCAAAGCATGTGAATGTAAATTGCACGGGGGCGCTCGACTTGGAAGTCGAAGTCGACGCGGAGCATGGTCGCCGCACGGCCCTGGGACACTTGAAAGTGACGGGGGTCATCGTGGTGTTTCCCCCGCGGGCGGGCCGTTCTTTGGGTGGGGGCAGCAGCATTCGCGCGTCACATATTATTTTGTTTTTGAAGGCAGCGGGGCCTATCCCGGCAGTGTTTCGTGAGCCGCCCACTCGTGGAAGTGCGAGCCCTGTCGATGGCACGCCCGGCGGCTACGGCCCTGAGCTCGCACCTGAAGGTCGCGTTGGTGAACGTGACGGCACGGACCTCCCCGTCAAGTCTGGCCAATCACTTGATGGCAACAGCGGCGCAAACAGCTCCACGGGCATGGGAGACCCGAGGGGGGCGCCCATTCTGGAGCATTGCGCCGAGGCCGCATCGACCTTAGTGGGCGTGGGCAGCATGGGCTTCCAGATGTGCCCGCCCTTCCAGGGCCCCGCCGCCGAGCGCGCCAAGGTGGGCCCTTTCGTCGAGCGTGGCTCCGTCCCCCCAGAGCGAGCAGATTCGCCAGTGGTCAGCGTGGCTTCCGACAGCGGTGATCAGCGCCCCGCGGCGCCCGCAGATCCCCCGAGCCCCAGCGACAAGTGGAAGCCCATGCCGCCCCCTACGAGGAGACTGATATTGGGGGCCCCGCGGCTGGCAGCGAGAAGCCCACGCTCGAGCAGCCAGTTCAGTCCCCCTGCTGGAGAAAGAAGGGTACATATCCTCCGAGTGGCGAGGGGCTCCAGAACCCGTTCATGGGGCAGCAGCTTGTGACCGCGTCTTCCCTGCTGCAGCAGCTCCGCGAGATCGCCCCAGAGTTTGCCGATCAGAGCCAGCAGTCGCAGCATTAGAGCGTGCTACTGGGAGGACGGGGGAGGAGGATGAGGAGGAGATGTAAGGAGGCCGAACAAGAGGATGAGACATGCGCCGTGCTGAGCGAGCAGGGCCAACGAGGTCCCCGCGCCATGCTCGTAGATCGTTTGGATGCCCAGGCAAGTTGAGAGAGATACGAAACAAACTGGGGTCCAACAGTCGGCGCGCTCGAAATGCAAGCAGTGTCCACGACCCTATTGTTGCCCCTCGTTATCCCCATTCCGACCCTTGCCCTCCATGTGCACATCCCATGGCCGTTCCCGTGCTAAGACTTACTCTAGCAATTGCCATCTCATTCTCGGCGTCCCCGCTCCCTCCCCATCTCCTGATATGTCCTTCATCCGCCTTGGTCTCCTCTTCGTGTTACCTTTCTTCTGCACCCTGCCCCCTGCCCCCGCCTTGCCCCCCCCCCCCACCCTCCCGTTGCCCTCCCCCCCATCCCTCGCCCCCTCCCCCATGCCCCATCGTCGCCCCTACTCGAGATGCCCACTCTCGTCGCGACCGCATTATGGTGCAGGCATTGTTGTTTACTTTGCGAGGTCCCCGAATTTAGGGTATGTCACCTTGCTCAGAGTAGTTAGATGCAACCCTGCATTGCGCACGACGTTTGTGCGTTTGGGCACCGTGGGTAGGACACATGGAGCAATGCGGTGTGACGGGGGGCCGATGTTAGGGTGCACGTCATGGACACACACACATTATGGGCTACAGGTTAGGGTGCGCGCTTGGACTAGGGCTCCAGATTCGATCTAGATTGGGGACCCAGGGTCGGGATCCATATTCGGATAGCTCGGCTAGAGCACTCGGGGCAGGGCGTATGGATTGAGGCACCTACACTAGGCAACCTGGTGATTAAGTGTACCATGGTACATCGATGCGTTTGTGCACAGCTGCCCTTAGCAACTGCGGTTTAAGGCGCCTCGGGCCACAATATTCGTGAGTGTTTCAGGCGAGAGCGTCACTTTGAAAAAGGTATTGCCCTCCACGCGTGCAATAGTTGCAAGTTGGGCAACGTGGGCCGTTCGTCTCGCGAGCGTCTACGGCAGGACCCCCGAGCCATTTTTTCAGATAGGGGGTGAGGGGTATCGCACGCGCTGCAGCAATTCCAAATCGAGTGGCTCAAGAGATTGTGCGATTCGCAACGGTGCCAGCTCAGAATCCACCCGCCCTCTGGCGCAATGGCGAAGCGCGCCGAGGGCAAGCCGCCGCCCATGAGGGGTCCGCAGGGCTCCTCGGCTGGCGCAGCGGGCCCTGCCGCGCCCACTCCCGCCGCTTCCTCTGGCGGCGCTTCGCCCGCGAAGCGTCGGGGGCGCGTGTGTTGCTGTTTCTTGTGCGCCAAGACTTCCAAGGGCGTCGGGCGCGCTCCGAATAGCCGCGCGACCCCCGCCGCCCTGCCCCCGCCCCGTCAGACGGGGGCTCGGGGCGAGGAGGAGGAATAGAAGGGGGAGGGTAGAAGGAGGAGGACGATGGTGGACGAGAGGGGGGAGAAGCAAGAGGGGGGGGGAGGCAGGGTTGGTTCGAGGAACACCGGGGGAGGAGGGCGAGACGCCTTCCCGAGGAGAAGACGATGACAGCTCGCGAGGATGTGGGCCTGGAGAGGAACGAGTGGGACGTGGACATCTGCGCCGGCTGCGTTGGCTGGGTCAGGACCCACGCGCCAACCATGTCGGTCAGCGAGTTGGCGGGTGAGCTCGCGAACGCCAAGGATCTGGGCAAGGACAACGCGGACATCAATGACAAGAAAGACAACTTCGCTGGCAGGGGTCTCACGGTGGCGGACGACATGAGCGTCCAAGTGGAGGTGTACGACGACTACGAGCTGCTTCGGTACCAGGACTTTGTCGATCTCTGCGGCAAGACGCCGAAGCAGGCTGGCGCCGTGCCCGTCAACGTCCCGACCGCGGACAACATCTCGCAGATCGCGACCTTCTACCCGAGCCCCTTGAACGCCAAGAAGCGCATGAAGGTGGTCAGCAAGTTCGGCGTCAAAGTCTCTGAGATGAAAAAGAAACACAGTATGCATTGCTTCACCAAGCAGCCTGGCCTCCTCATGAAGTGCGCCGCGAAGAGTTTCCTCAAGAAGCACGCCGTCGCCCTACTTGGTCGTCGGGAGCGCCTGGGGGGCAGCAGCGCCTAGGTGGCCGCCGAGCACGCCGCCGCGGGCGCTGGGCTAGCCAGGTCGGGTTTGTTCGTGGTTGCTGAGGCGAGCATCGCCGAGAAGGGTGCTTCCAAGGACGATGGCGAGTCATTCATGCAGGAGTCGGACGGCGACGTCGATCAACCCGATGGCGACGATGACCCCGAGCGCGCAGGCGGGGCGCATTCAATGGCCGCGCCTGTGAAGGGCGTCACTCCCGTGACGGGCGCTCGCTCGTCCCCTAGCGCCGTCGTTTCTGAAGGATGCCAGGTCCAGGCCGAGGGCCCGACGCCGTGGAACAAGTATTTCGTGGGCGAGTGTCCTGCAAAGGGTGCTGCCGAATTTTGGATCTGGAAGACCCCATTGAAAGGGGTCCTCGCTGGTCTCAGGGAGAAGCACCCTGTCAGCCAGATGAACACCCTCTTGTCGAAGCTCGACGCGCATTCGGCGAGGAAGCTGCGCCTCCACAAGGCTGCCATACAGCAGTGCCAGGAGATCGTGGACGGCTCGGCCCAGTCAATGCCTTACAACGAGTTCGCAGACAAAGTGAGGACCTTGGTGCCCTCGGTCGGGGAGTGGCCGCAAGAACATCACCGCGTGTTACTGGAGTGCACCCTGAGCCACCACGTGGCGGAGTTCGCGAGGACGGGCAAGGGGGCCCACGCCGAGAACGCCTTGGAAGTCGTAAAATTGTTCACGGTCGGCGAGGGGAAGGAGGAGAGTTTCAACCCCCTGAAGCCCATGCTGGTCCAGAGCTCCTTGTCGGATTCCGAGCGGGCGGACTTCTTCGTGAATGAGGTGTTCGGCAGGAAGGTCGCCGAGTGGATCGAGGATGAGGTAAACGGGGACTCCCTTATCTCGACGTTTGCTCAGGTGGCCATCAAGGCGATGAAGATCCCAGAGGACGGCAACGTCGGCGAGAAGGTATGCTATGCGCTGCGGGCGCACCTCGTACGCTGCAGGTGCTCTTGCATCTAATTCACCCCTCGTTGGTGGACGGTTTGTCCTTCAAGGTGTACGACGACGCGGGCGCGATCTTGGAGGCGTCCGCGAAGACTGACGCGGCCTCGTCGGTGTGGCAGACCGTCGGGCTTGCGTGCGTCACCAGCCCGAGGTGGAATACTGGGCTCACGGAACTTGCTGGACAGAAGGACGCAATGAAAGAGGTTGGGCCGATAATTCAAGTAATTATCGACAGCCTCTCCAGTATCGTGGAGCCCACGGCTGCTAGCGCCAAGAAGATCGGTGACATCGTCGAGGACATCCCGCATTTCCATGCCAAAGGCGTGAAAGACCCCGCCGAGAAGTTGGAGTTCAAAGTCAACGAGAGGGCGTGCGAGCTCATTTCCGCGGCCGCCAAGGCCGCTGCTGGCCTCGGCGATTCAGGCAACAGCTCCGACCCGAGCAGCCTCGGCATTGAGGACTTGAACGCTTTCGTCACTCCCGCGAGGAAGATCACCCAGAACTGCGCGGAAGCGGAGGCTTTCATTATCGCGAACAACGCCCTGAAGCTGACCAAGGAGAGCCTCGAGACATCGCTCCGTCCGAAGAGCTTGAACGAGGCTCTGCAACAGTTCAACTTCGAAGATGCCCAGTCAGTGGCAAACGTGCTGGGTGCGTTCGGCGGCGTCGTCGCAGCGGCGCTCCAGGATGAGGTTCGCGTGAGGGTCAAGGAGATTGTCGATCCGGTGATCGACTCACCTCGCGCCGCTGATGCCACGAACACGGTCAACCTCACTCAGGTGGTTTCGTTCGTCTCCGCGATGGTGCCATTTGTCCCAGTCGAGCACGGGATGACCTACCAGAACATCAACTCCGCGCTGAAGCTGTGCAAGGGCGTCAGTGCAGGTCTCGCTGCGTTGGAGGGCGTCGAGACGACCGTGACCTGGTACGCTGACAAGGATGTGCAGAGGCTCCTGAACGAACTCCAGCGGGAGCACCTGCGCCTGAAGAGTGGCACGACCAAGCTCGACAAAGCCCCGAATGTCCTTGAGGCGTGCGAGCTCATGTCGCAGAAGGCCGCCGAGAAGAGTGCCATGGTCGCGAGCGACATCAAGGCCACGACCGCAGACCAGATCCAGAGCATCATGAAGAAGGTCGCCTTCGCCATGGAGAATGACTCCTTCATCAAGATGACGAGCGTGATGATGGATGTCGAGTCCGTGGCCGACGTCAAGAAGCAGACGCCCAGGGAGTTCTTCGAGGTCGACGCCGGCTCAATCGTGACGGCCGCCGTCGCGATGATGAAGCGCGTGGGCGAGTACGGATCGTTTCTTCGGAGCTCCAAGCTCGGCGCCAGAGAGTTCGCAGGCGATGTGAAGATCCTGTGTGACAGGGTGTTCACCATGATTGGCGTTCAGAAGAATCTGAGACCGCTCATGGGCGCGTCTGTGGCCAAGGATGAGGTCAAGCTGATGTTTGAGATGAAGTCGGTGCAGTCGTTCCTTCGTGAGCACGAAGTGAAGGTTAAAGAGATGCGCGCGGGCCTGGCTGCTGCGTACGTGCAGGCGCTGACGGCCTCGTGAACCAGCCGTGGTGCGAGGCGCGGCCCTTGGGGGGGGGGGGTGATAGGGGCGAGGGGGGTGGTAGAAAGGGAGGTGGACTCTAAGATTCGCAGCTTGCTGTAGCCGACAGAAGGCCTTTTTTTCCGCGTTTTCGAGGGCGAACGGCGCCGGGCGCCGCGGTCGAACGGTAGTTTGATGAAGGGGGAGGCCGAGTAAGATTATGCAGAACATGGGGGGGGGGGGGGGGGGGTAGAGGATGGATCAGGGCGTGGGGGCGACGAGAAAGAGGACGGGGGGGGGGGCGGGGGGGGCAAGGGAGGAGAAAAGAGGTGCAGTGGCGAAATTTGTTGAGATTCCCACCCTGCTCCCTCCCATGCCCCTCCCGTCTCCCCTCCACGGGCCCCCTCCTCCCTCGTCGTTCCTCTTGCTATCCATCCCCCGCCTTTCCACTGCAACCCGTGCTGGTCCTCGTGCGCATCCTCGGCATCCTTCCTCACTCCCCCCTCTCCTTCCCCACCTCTTCCAACCCAGCCCTCACCTCGGGGTCCAGTGACTCAGATCGGGTAAGGGGGGTGCCATCAGAAAGGCGGGGGCGCCCTTGCTGCAGCTGGATATTGAAAAAGAGTTGCCCCCCCTGGTCGTGGTTGTTGTTCCGCCTCCTCTTCGCCTCCCTCGCTGATCCCTCTCGCGCCTGCTCTCCTGCTCCTCTTCTTCTTTCTCCTTCCACCTGCTCGTTCTCTCCGTCGTCCTAGTTCGACTCCCCAAATTCCTCATGGAACCTTCGTCTGTCCCCCCTCGCCCTCTCGCCCGTCGCGTCGCGGCGATCGACGGGGCGGTGGCGGCCTTCGGCAACGAGGCCGCGGCCGAGGCAATGGGGGAGGATGAGGAGGAGGAGAGATGGAGCGGAAGGTTGCTTCTCCCCCCTCACCCCTCCTCGCGTCCACGCCTTTCTTTTGCTTGTCTCCCGATGGGGCGGGGGCGGGGGGGGCTGGGCAGAGGAAGAGGGGGGGATGAGGGTGAGGGAGGCAAGGGGGCGGATAATGCGATGATGGTGGTATTTTTTGGCCAACTAAGTGCAAGGGCATCCGTGGGCATCCAAACTCAAACGTTGTTCGTCGTGCCCGCGCATCCCTGCTGCGAGTTTCGCGTTTGCCTTCCGACGTCGGAGTTTTTCATGCTGTTCGGGAGGGGTCGTGCATGGTTTTCGCTAGGTGCGCGAAAGAGTGCCAAGTGGGCGTTCGAGAGGGCTCCAGGTGCCTTTTCGGCTATATGAGCGTAAACCACTCCCTAGCGGACCGCAGATTTTCTAAGGGTAGAAAGGGGGCCTGATGATGCCTGTGGGCTTTGCGTTTACAGGAACGCCAGCTGAGAGGAACAAGTTGACCGTCCGATCGAGCGCAGACCAAGCTGAAGAGCACGACTGCTCTGCTCCCAGCAGATCGTCCACAACATCCAACAATTGCACCTCGCAGCTCTCGTGCAAAATGCGTAGGAGCTCTTGTATGGATCGATCATTGGGTTCTGGGGCTGGCGACGGGCCAACAGGGATATACAGAGATCGCCCGTGTTGTCGCTTCCCCTGCGAGTGCAATTCGAGGAGATAAGAGCCCGCGTCGCAAGCCCGCCAGTTGAAGAAACAATCTCGTAGATCTACGAGAAACAAGGAGTCTCCCACGTGCGTGCGGCTGAAGGCCCTGTCGACGGTTCCGTAGGACACCCCGACATGAGGCACCCGCTCGTTGACGCGGCCCATGCGCAGGTCCAGTGTCAGCCGTGCTTTCCATGCTCCGCGGCGTCTGGCGATGCACCGTCCACGCTTGCACCGTGCAGCGGAAGGAATCCACGGAGTCTGTGGCCGGGGCGAAGGCTGCCATGCAAAGCGCCCTTTACGAATGCACAGCCCTTTCCAAAGGATCCCGAGGGAGGGATGGAGGGAAAGAGGGAGGGGGGGCGGGCGGGCGGGCGGGCGGTCGGGCGGGCGGCCAGGCGGGCGGGCGGGCGGGCGGGCGCGCCTGCGGGCGGAGGAGGGGGAGGAGGAGGAGGAAGAGGGGGAGGAGGAGGAGGGGGAGGAGGAGGAGGAGGAACACCAGAGGAGTTCCGAGGGAGGAGGGAAGAGGCGGCGGGCGCCTCGTTGCCGCCTCTTGGCCGCCTCCACCGCTTGAGTGGGTATGGCCAGCATCCGCTATGTTATTGCAGTGGGCGCCTGGTTGCCGCCTCGGTGGGCGCCTTGCCGCCTCGTCGCCGCCTCCACCGCCTGGGCGGGTATGGCGAGGATCCGCCATGTTATCGCGGCAGGGGCCTCGTTGCTGTCTTGGTGGGTGCCTCGTTGCGCCCAGTTGCATGGCAATCGCATTGCATTGCAATATTGCATCGCGTTGCAATATTGCACCGCGTTGTAATCGCATTGCGTTGCAACAGCATCGCATTGCAACCGCATCGCATTGCACTCGCATTACAAAATCTCCGTTCATTGCAATCGCAATGAATTGTAAGCGCCTTACGTTGCTGCAATTACATTGCATTGCAATGCAATCGCGTTGCATTTCAATCGCTTTGCATTGCAATCGCATTGCGTTGCGATCGCACTGCAATTGCGTTGCATTGCGTTGCGCTGCGTTGCAGTTAACGTGCGCTGCAATCGCATTGCATTGCAATCGCATTGCATTGCGATCGCATTGCGTTGCAATCGCATTGCATTGCAATCGCATTGCATTGCAGTCGCGCGACGCGCGCCAGTAGTTTCGGGGCTTCATGCTTGACCATCTCCGCCCTGGGCGCGGGGGGGGGGGACATAGAACACGCCAGGGGAAGAAAAAACAGCGCGGAGAGGAAACGAGAAAAGCAGAGACCCCCCAGGGTGAAACAAAACGGAGACCCCCCAGGGGAACCAAACGCCACGGGGCAAATAATCAACTTTCCCCAAGGTATTCACATCAAGCAGCTGAACGGAGTTCTCAAGGAGGCTTTGGCAAGCCAAGAGATAAGTGGACCTCGCTTCAGAAGAATCAGACCACAGCGGCGACTGGCTAAAGTAACAGATAGTGGTCATATCACCAGTAGCAGGCTATCCACAATAACCGCGAATCATCTTACTGGTTTGAGATCATGCGGTACTTCGTTATGGGAACCAAGGGCATTACAATTTAGAGAAGAAGCACGTTTCTTCGGAGGCGTGGCATGCCCATGGGTCATCAGTTCTAAGAAGGCTCAGAGAGTTTTATGGTCTACTTCGCACTCAGAAGCGAATCCTGCAGTATCATGTGCGGCCTTGTCTATCATCATAGCCTCAATGATCACAGAGTTGGAGTACTTTCCAGTCTTTGGGGAAGCTCCTACCTCACGAGACTTACTTGAGGTGCACATGCGATCTCAACACCTGATACCAGTTGATCTCTGTACGGATGCAATGAACCTCTTCGAGCTCATTTGGTTCTCCACGCCACTGCCGAACGACAAGCGCCACCGAGATGGCATCTTAGCACTGCGTGAGGACAGGCTGATAAGGAGGGTTACGCATAGCATACACTTGTCTACTATGGTCATGCTTGCCGACCCGCTGACCAAGAAGATGCTATCGCCAATGTGCATGTGCATTCTTACCACAAGTTTGTGGAACATTGGGCTGAAGGAGAGTAGCAGTCGATTTCGACGTGGAGTACGACGCCCGGCTACATATCCAGAGCAAGATTTGCGTGTTAAGACTTAGGGTGCAGCTTCCTACGACGTTGGCGGCTCGCTAGAGCTGAACGACGATGAGATTTCAATCTGGGAGTTTCTTTCATATCCTGCGAAGGACATCGGCATCTATTGATCATGGATGGATTATGAAGGATGATACCTTCAGATACCCAAGGTCCGTGGACACCACGCTCCAGCTACATCAGTTTGACTGGATACGAGAGGGTGAAAGCGGACTCTGCATAATTCTGAGCATCGTCATGTGGGAAAGAAGGGTTGTTGACATAATGAGGACTGTCGAGCGAGGATGTGCGAACAGTAATACACCTCGGTTCAAGGACGAAGTTTCGAGTGGGGAGGGGGGGGGGGGGAGGGGGAAGGGGAATGACAGGGGGAGGGGAGGGGAGGGGAGGGGAGGGGAGTCAAGCTAGGTGCGCTCGCGTCATACCTGACGTCCTACCCCTCCCTCCCCTCCATCACCATGGCGTAGATCTCTTGTCTATTCGCACAATCGGCCGTCGTACCATGGCATTGCATGGTGTTGAACATCAACGTGTAGCATGACATAGCATGGCGTGGCGACGCCCCGAAGTGTGGGGGCTTCTGGGCCCCCCCAAATCAACGAATCGACATCGAATGCGTAATCACCGCCGACGTTTTTTTCGAGAGGCCATTTTCTTGATTTTGGGGCGTGTTTGGAAGGACCGAAAACCATGCCGTGGCATGGCACTGGAAATAGTGACGCCAGCGCTGCAGCGGGAGCACGATTCGGAACGAGCGGAAAAGCGGAAACGAGGTCAGCGCTGCATTGGGAGCACGATTCGGAACGAGCGAAAACCCGGAAATGAGGCCAGCGCTTCAGCGGGAGCAGTATTTCGAAAAAGCACCCAAGCGAAAACGCAGTTCCCAGGAATCCTGTGTGTAAGAAAAACAGTCGCGGAATGCGGCCAGATATCTTCTGGACGTCATCAGGGGAGGGGGAGAGTAGTATTCATATTGTGTAACTGTTAGGGAGAGAGGGAGGGGGGGAAGGGGAGGGGAGGGGGGGAGGCGGGGAGGTGGGGAGCTACCGCATGGAGCTTGTCACTGCGTCGGGGGCGTGAGTCTCGCGCCGCCCCGCTTCCGCGCGCGCCGCCCAGGTGCCCCTCACCTCTCGCCGCCTTCCTCCTCCGCCAGGAGAGGCTCGGTCACGCGCCGAGGGGGGGGGGCGGGGGGGGAGGGGAGAGGGGGTGGGGGGGGAGGGGCAGGGCAGGCGCCTTCCAAAAAGCGGCCTCCTTCTTAGAAGCCCTCCCCCCCTCCCCCTCGCCTGCCCTCGAAGTGCGCGCTGCGTGCCTCCTCCGCCTGGAGAAGCGGGGGGCGGCCGCTCCGCCCAAGGGGGCCGTCCCCCTGCCATGGCCGCCGCGGGGCACGCGGTCGAGATCACCTCGAAGGCGCCGCCCCGCGCCTCCGCCGGGATCTCGGCGCGGGGGCTGCCGCGGAGGTCGGGGGGCAGCAGCGGATGCCACGGGGGGTAAGGTTTGGCTTCGCCGATAGCTTATGATCGGGGGGCGAAATCTATACATATCCACTGCTCCCTGGCCAGGCCCATCCTGAACCCAGGAGCTGTGTATACGCCCTTCTGGCCAACCAGGAGGGCGTGGCGTATACACAGCTGCTGTGTTCAGGATGGGCCTGGCCAGGGAGCAGTGGATATGTATAAATTGCGTCGCCCTATTATGAGTGGGTTATGCATGCCCCAAGTGGCTCAAAGAGGGCTGCCGAGCCAGGCTGAGTGGGCCCCCGCCCACCTCGCGGAGGTCTCCAACCCCCTTCAGCCATTCGGGGCATTCGTAACCTACGTATACATATCAGCTACAGATGAGGACAGGTATAACCCCCCACCTTGGCATCCACGGATAATTACCCGACTGCGTGAACAACCCTTGCGCCGGACAAGGACTGGCCCGCGAAGTAGTGGCCTGGCCGCCGGCGTGACCATTGGTGCGTGGTTTTTTGGGGCCGTTCGGGATGGGGGGCGCTATTGTCGCATCGCATGCAGCGATCGGCGAGACGCGTTCCAAAGGTTTCCCTTGCGTGGGGTCACCAGCGTGTAGTCCAATGGGGGAGACGGGGAGGAGGAGGAGTAGGAGGAGGAGGAGGAGGAGGAAGAGGAGGAGGAGGAGGAGGAGGAGGAGGAGGAGGAAGGAGGAGGAGGAGGAGGAGGAGGAGGAGGAGGAGGAGGAGGAAGAGGAAGAGAAGGAAGAGGAAGAGGAGGAGGAGGAGGAGGAGGAGGAGGGGGAGGAGGAGGAAGAGGAAGAGGAGGAGGAGGATGAGGAGGAGGAGGAGGAAGAGGAGGAGGAATAGGAGGAGGAGGAGGAGGAGGAGGAAGGAGAAAATGGAGGGAGGAAAAGAAGGAGGAGGACAAGGAGAAGAAATCATAATAATAGTAATAATATTAATAAGGATACTAATGGTACGAATGGTATTAACAATGATGATACGGATAACAATGATAAACCAACAACCAACACTAATTGGAATATGAATATCAATAAGAAGAAGCGGAATAATCATATGGATAATAATAATATTCAGAATATGCATACTTCGAAAAAAAGATGAATAATACTACTACTAATAAGAATCATAGGGAAACAGTACTACTATGAATATTAGTAGGAATAACAATAATAATACCAATGCTAATATTATTATTAGTATTAAGAATAATATGAGTAATACTAATAATACTACTAATAAGAATACTACTGGTAACACTTTTCGTAGTAAACCTAAGAATAATAATAATACTAATAGTAATACTAAGAATGCGAATCATAACACTCAGAATAAGCATGATACTAATAATAAGAACACTCATACGAATACTAATGCCAATACGACGAATACGATTATTAATATTAATAAGACGACTACTAAGATCGATAATAATACTAGTAATACTAATACGAATCATCATACTAATACTTATAATAATAGTAATCGCAATACTAGCAATAATGATAGTAAGAAGATTAAGATTAATAATAAAAAGCATACTCGTAATAATAAAAAGAAGAATGATAATCAGACTCGTAAGAATACTCAGAATAAGAACAATACGAAACAGCAAGATAATAATGATAATATTGTGAATAATGATACGAAGAACAATATTGCGAATACGAATAAGAGGAATAATACGATAATAGTAATATCAAGAATAATAAACATACTACTCATACTAATAGTAACAGTACTCATAATAACAACAATACTAGCAATACTACTACTAATACTATCAATGATAACCATTCTAATGCTACTACTACGAATACTAATGATGATACTGATACTAGTAATACTAAGAATACTAAGGATACGAGTGGTAATACTAAAAAGAATAGTAATGATAACCAGAAGAAGAATAACACATAACCACAATACTAATAATAATACGAATAATAATATTATCAATAGTAACGATACTTACAATACTAATTAGAAGAATAAGAGGGGGAGGAGGAGGAGGAGGAGGAGGAGGAGGAGGAGGAGGAAGAGGAGGAGGAGGAGGAGGAGGAGGAGGATGAGGAGGAGGAGGAGGAAACCTCCCCCCTGGGAGTGGCCGCTGTCTGAGACTGCTGGTCACCCCCGGGGGAACCGTCCTCATTCTTTCGGTGGCGGCGGGGGTTTCTGCCCGTTCCCGATCAACGTGCACCGGGGCGCGCGGCAGACCTCGCGCGCGCGGCTGGAGGAGGAGGAGGAGGAAGAGGCGGAGGAGGAGGATGAGGAGGAGAAGAAGGTTAAGCAGGAGGAGGAAAAGGAGGAGGAGGACAGTTGATTTTGTCACTTCCCCGTGCCCGTTTCTGACGCATTGCTGTGCGACCGAAGCCGTGTGTTGTCTCGAGAAAAAACATCGCCCCGCCCGCCGCGCGCGTGCGTCCTCCTAGGCGCCTTCCCCCGGCCGGCCCGGCACTTTTTTAGTTTATCTTGTCGGCCAAACCTTAGCGGGCACTTTTCCATTCATGCAACCAGGGCAGTTAGGGAAGGAAAACACTTTCGAAACGAACATGCTTACATTTTGCTTTTCAGCTTGGCCAAGAAATAACCCATATCAATGACCGATTGGCAAAGTACTGGGCTACCAGCCGAAAGTTTTATTTTCGAGTGCGTCTCTCTATGTTCGGCGATGACGGGCGTCATGGGGGGGGGGCGTGGGGGGTATGACGCAACGCCCCCCCCCGCCGTGTGGTTCTGGCACCACAGACGCGGCCGCGCGGACGACGCGACGAGCGACGAGCGACGACGACGACGACGCGAGCATCATGTAGGCGGCGATCTGCCCCACTGCGCCGGTATACGCCGCAACGCTCTCGTGCACCACGGCGCGCGTGTGCACATCGCCTGCGTACACCGCAACAACCGTGTGCAACGCAGCGCCTGTGTACACCACGGTACTTGCGTACACTACAGCGCCAGTGTACATGTGTACACTGCAGCAACCATGTGCAGCGCAGCGCCTGTGTACACCACAGTGTTTGCGTGCACTATACGCCGGTGTACATGTGTACACCGCAGTAGCCATGTGCAACTCAGCGCCAGTGTACCCCGCAAGGCTTGCGTGCACCGCGGCGTCTGTGCACGCCACAGCGATTGTCTGCACCACAACATCTGCGTGCAACGCAGCGGTGGTGTACACCAGCGTGCCTGCGTGCATAGGACAGGTAAAAGAACATGTCAGTGAGGATCTGCTGCGGGCAACTAAACTGCCGATAATCGAATGCGACGTTCTTCCGTCTTCCCTCCACCTCCACCTCCTCCTCCGCCTCCTCTTGCTCCTCGGTCTCTGCCCGCCCACGTTCATCGGGTCCACCTGCGCAGGCAGCCGACCTTCTTCAGCGAACCGATCCTTGGCACCGACAGAAGCAACAGCAACATGGCGGATATCAGCGATTCTCGCAGGGCTTGGCGAGCGACCTGGAGCTGTTCCCCACCTTCGCATCGCAAGCGGATCAGCCAAAAGAAGACCAACGGACACCGCAAACTCCTGGACAGCGCTCTTCAGAATCTCATGCAGCGGCAGATCCCCCACGCCGCCGCCACTTTCAAACAGCAGGCCGACATTCTATTAGAGCAGTCGCGCGACAGCTTCCGCCGGCTTCTCCAACAGCAGGTTCTTCAAATTGAACGACGTGTGGATAGCCTCCAGGACCAGCTGGCCCGCGCCAAGCGCGAGCAGGACAAGCAAACCGAGGGGCAGCGCAGGATGTGGACACATATCGACAAGTTGCGTGACGCGATCGCCTTCGCCGAGGTTCAGGTTCCCATTGCCGACGTCTCCAAGCTTGCCGAGTGGGGCCGCTCGCCCGACGCTGCCCCATTCGCCATTGGCTCCCAGCGGCTCGTTGCCCCCAGTGCCGTCTTCAATGACTCGCAGGAGTGGATCGGTGCTGCTGGACTTCAACGCGACCGCGTTGAACTTCATGGCGGCGAACCCGCGCGGCGCTTCGCCCCCCAGGTCAAGGGCAACAAAGAGGTGGCCATCCCCCGCGCTCTCGCTCTTCAACGTGTTCTTCGGGGCGCCGCGGGCCGATGGCGTCGCCTCCATGCCGTCGACGCCGGCGGCGTCCACGCCGACATCTACGTCAACCCCGACAAGTCGCCGAAACAGACCCGCGCGGAGATCCAGTGCAAGAAGCTGCATTCGCTCTTGTCGCAGAAGTACCCGCAGCTGCGCTGGAGTGCCGTTCGCTCCAAGGGCGAGATCCACTGCGACGCGGCCCCGTTGGCGCGCCTCGACATCAAAGGCCAAGCCGCTCCCGCCATCCTCGAATGGAACGAGCGGGCGCTGGGGAACCCCGCCTTCAACTGCCTCGACCGCGGCGCCATCCTCGCGGACTTCCAGGCCCTCTTCGCTGACATCGAGTCCGCCACGTGGCGTTCCTAGCCACCCGTGGGCCCCTTGGCGCGGCGCGGGCACGTCGTTACCCTCCACTTTCGTCAGCTGGAACGCCCGCGCCTTCACGTGCTCGCGCCGCCGACGGCGCCGCCGCAAGCAGGCCGCCCTCATCGAGCTCATGCGTGCCGAGCAGGTGATCCTCCTGCAAGAGGTCCACGGCTCGGAGGCGCTCTTCCGCACTTGGCTAGACGCGCAGCCGTGCCCGTGCAAGCTCATCTTCTCCGAGTTCCGCGCTGACCCCCCCGCGCAGCAGCGCGCCGCGGGCGGCGTCGCGATTCTCGCCCCGTGGTTCGCGCCCTCGCAGCTCGCCCAACTTCGCCCTGAGCAGTGCCCAGTATTCGGGCATGATCCTCTGGTGCCAGGCCGCGTCCAGCAGCTCGTCATCAGCAACGCCCTCTCTGGCCAGCACCTGGTCATCATGAATGTCCACAACCATGAGCTCGACGCGCGTGACCGTGGCAGGGTCCGCGCTGCCTGGCGCCTCCATCGTGA